GTAATTTGTATCTAAATGTAATTTCCAAAATACACGATTTACCAAAAAAAAACAAACCGAGCAAAGCTCGGTCCTCCGGGCACTTAAAATTATTTAATTAAAATTATTAAATTTAAAATTGGCTTATTAAAATTAAAATTAGTTCTAGAACTTGGAATTCAAAAATGTTGAATTTCTGGACGATATTTTTGAAACAAGAAAGCAATAGAAACTCCGATTGCCTACAAACCATTTATTGGTGGCTCGGTGGCGCAATCGCGAAGCCAATTAGATAGCACCAAGGGTCATGAGTTCAGTTCCCGCACGGAACAAATATTTGTGATACCCACAAGTAATTGTTCCGGGTGTTTGTTGCTAAGGAGAGTTGGCTAAAGGCAGGCGGCCAGTCATAAAAACCCTAGCCAAATACTTGGCAACATGATTCACATTTTGTGCCGACCCCACCTAAGTGGGATAAGGACAGAATAAAGAAGATCATTTTAACAATGTTACAACTCGCATTCTAGCTAAAAGCGTGCGACAGAAAAAGATGTACATAAATACGCGTTTAATACGCGATGAACAGTACCCTCCTTCGACGGTCAAAAAGGCGATATGAAAGCCTCTAACGGCAGAGCAAACCATAAAAACTGCTACCAGTCATTCGCGTTGTCACGAATCCCGTTAAAATAACGTAAATACAGGCAATTCAGTTCAAGGACGTCCATAACCGTCACGCTGAAGTTTGTGACCAGCGTGAACAATGAGTTATGCTGCGGTGTCCTCATGCAATCGCGTATAAAATATGATAATTGGACGCTCTGTAGCACGTTTCGCCGTCGTCGAGAACAATAGCTTTTTATAGGGTTGTTTTAAATGCGAAATGCAGTGCGTTGAACGTATTGGTTTATACTGCTGCACTGCATTCCTGTTTAACGCCTCAACGATGTAAATAAGTATTGCAGATGAGGAATAACCTGTCCAATATGTCCCCTACCTAATTCATATCACGTCAAATCAGTTGTCGCCCGCGGCTTTGCTCGTGTGGATTTTAATTTTTATTGATCGTCAGTGGGCTTAATTGAAAAGAATAACGCTCCAAACATACCCCACACAGCATGAAGGAGGACCTCACTGTCCTTACTAGGAATTAATCTTTGTTACTCTCCGAACCCTTGTGTAAAAAATGGACAATCCAACAAACACTTCAGCGTTTATAAAATACGTAGGGTTGCTATAACAATACAATATGTATAATATTATAACTCAATATAAAAAGTTTTTAGATAATTTTAATAATTATTCATCAATAACATTGCTTTATTTCAAAATAATTTTTTATTACAAAATATCAATTAAAAAAAATCAAATTAACCAACGATAATTTGGACCTTTGTTATTGTTGAAACAACAGATGTTAACAGTAAGATCTATGTAAAATAACTTCTGATGCTATATTTTATTTGATGCATAATTTAAAAAGAGAGTCTGACGACCGGTTTCTGAAACACTGATGATCGTAGAAGTCAACTAATCAGCTGTCAATTAATGGTTTTTCAAATGTTATTTGACTTGTTAAAAGGATTTTTAAACTTTAAACGAGTGAATAAATCACAATCGGTTTGTTACTTTACTTTATTTACTTATTATATACAACTAGCTGACCCGGCAAACGTTGTTTTGCCATATAAATTATTTGTAGGGTAGAAAAAAATGATTGAATGATGACCAGCCTTAACGTGTAGGGGGATGAAAAATAGATGTTGTCCGATTCTCCACCCTGGCCGATATGCACAAAAAATTTCACGAAAATCGGAATCTTATATATTAGATAAAACTTACTCGCTACCTCTCTATAGATCTTCACACCACTTTGTGGCACCAGAAGTTTTTATTATTAACATCTTATGCTTTAACAACAATGGGGTCTAAATTATAATTTATTGTTTTGTCTGTTTTTTATATTGCTTTTTTAAAAAAAATATTTCGAAATAAAAAATTGTTCCAATTACCTGAAAGCCCTATATATGTTGGAGTTGAAAACAATAGAAATTTAGAATGACCTGAAAATGCCTAAAGACTAAAAACAAAACATAAAAACTGTCAAAATCGTGGACGGTAATCCGTTAGGTATCCATTGTGACATTTGCAGCGACGAAAGTGTTCCGAGAAGAGGCATACAACATGTACGCTTTCTCCTTCAAAGGGGAGCAGACTAGATGGTCTCGAGATTTCTGTAGCACGTGCCAATTTTATTATTTCAAATCTGAGCTCTGTTCTCGTTTATCATATCGGGTCGGTGGAAGTGGGCTGCGGTGTTAAGGAAAACATAGGACTAACGCCGATGCGATATACCAGCCGTTCACAGGTTCTTACTTCATCGATGCAATATTCTCGGCGTTGCGTTACATAAGCGCAGTGTAGGTAGCGTTGCATAAAATACGTTCTCGAGTTTAAGAACCGCACCGTCCGTCGTAACGTAGATTCGTGTTTACGGTCGATCCTCCAAAGTTCCGTGAACGCACCGCTACTGACGCGCGACGATGAACATCCAATTAGATACGTCGAGATTACCGGTGTTGTGTAACGTCTCGTTGAGGCAAACACGCTATTTCGTCCCGCGCTCGTTATTAAAACTCCATAACCGGATTGTTAACGTTAACTATGTAATCGATCCAAAAGCATGTCACACGATATATGGAATGTAAGGCATTCGAAACGCAAGGATATCGTAATAGACGACACGTAAATATACCAACAAATTAATTATTCGCATAATATTTCGAATGTCACAGGAGCACTGTGACTTCTTTTCTTTATACATCTTTATGAATGATAGTTAATTGCCCGGTTGACCTAACGGGTTTGACAATGAATTTATTAAAATGAACGTTTCAAAGTTAGAAACTGCTGTTTACATATGTTGAAGATTCATTAAAACGTGTTCTTTTATCTATTTGATAATTTTAATATACTTACTAAGCCAATTAAAGATACTTTTATTTTCTGTAAAAGCTAATTTACTTAAATATTAAAGAAGTAGTTTATAGTTATGAGTACATAGGATTATTTCAGCCAGTATGACATTACTGGTCACAGGACATTTTGTACAAATGGTGTTCATTTTTTGTTAATGAAGTAATGTAGCTATTATCGACTAGCCACTGCAAAAGGTAAGGAAACTTCCGTGCATCTAAAAATAGATTGCGAGGTTCAAGAAATTTCTGCGCCACGACTTGATACTACAAGCAAGACACGAGAATCGTGTGATCGGATGAAACGCCTTACAGCCGTTTGCCAATACAGCGTTTTATTATTTGTATCTGATTAGTATACTATTCACATTAGTGCCTCGGTACGGTTAGTTTCTGATCAGTACACCTCCGATAAATTCTAGCTAAGAACCATTTCGATTACATCAGATTTCAAACCTCATCAAAATCAGTCCATACCATTCGTTTGAGAGTTATAATACCACAGACTTATAACAGCCTTATATTTGTTTAAAAGTACTATCAGTGATTCTATATATGTTTATTGGTCAAATGTTAAGTACCTATGCGGTACATTCCACATCCGTAAATTAACAATTTGGATTGACATTGTATTGAAATCGTAAGTTTTCAGATGAGTCTACTGCACTTATAAAACAATTACTCGACTTCGGATATCATATGTATTATGCATATTAAATAAGACATTATAAATGGGAATGTATTCGTCAAATATTAATTAAGTTTCAAAACCAATAGTACGTAGTACCAACACAATGAATAGCATTCCTTATCTGAGCACGAGAATAGTTCTCATAATTTTTAACATTGTTAACGGACGTAAATTTTGTCACCACTGCCGCAGTACGTGAGAGATAATACTGAAAATATGAATACGTTAACCCTGTTTAGCTGCTGTGTAATAGTAAGCAATGGTTATGCTAAACGCTATTTCAACATAGGCGCGAGCTGAACAATAAGTTGGCATATTTACAACGGACTTTATTCATGGTCTACTTTTAATGGCGGCATTATTTCAAATGTTAAACAGGTACGCGAGCGATGCGAAACAATGAGGGAAAGTGGTTGTAGTACATGCATAAATATATCCAAGCAGATCTCTGCTGTGTGGTCATAGGAACGATGTTAATGAGATCAGTTAGCACGTTCGCGAAACACATAGCAAAGTTCGCCCACCATGGTTCCATTCGTACAAAGTAAAACAAAGACGATGAGATACCGTCCAGAATCGTCTAAAGAGTAACTAAATAGTGTATAATATAAAGTGTAACGACCTTGTCGGTGCCATAGAGGCAAAACATCACTGTTATCAACTACCGAATACGCATATCCATCATCTTATTGGGGTAATAAAGAGTAACAACTAAGCCGAGAGCAAAACTAAGATTTATTGCGCCAGAGGCCGGCGAAACAAGACCGCAAATAAAGAGAACGCGGACCTTGAGCGCCGTATCTGACAAAATCAATCGGACTTCGGACAAAACTTGACCCAAAAACGCAATAGACTAAACAGCGCACTATCACCCCTGAAAACAGTTGCTCGATCCATCGCGTCCAGGATTTCGCGTCATCATTTTGCAGCACTAACTTCGGCCACATTGTCCACAGAGACATGTATATGGGCTATCGCTTACTAATTTTGTTAATCATTTGGAGAGGGACGAAAAAATACAGAGCCCGAATAAGAGACCTCTCGACAAGGAAATGTTCTACACAAACTTCCGTGTTCCAAAGCTCCCACAATTTGATTGTGTAACCGCAAACGTTATACCGCACACCGCCGCGGGTTTTGGATAGATATTTATCTAATGACGAGACCAATTTCTTATGACATAAGACGAGGAGTTTACTCAAAATTATAAATTCCCATTCGTATACAAGAACCTACAATGTGCCAAAGTGAAATCGTTATAAACAGGACAATTATTTTGAGAGCAATGTCACTTATATAAAATGAAACGAGGTTGTTGTGAGGATCGCCTAGATCATGGATTGGAACTATTTCAGATCTCGGGACAAGAATGGCACATCCCACGGCCGTCTCTGACCAGCAGCAGCACGCAGGGCAGTGTGGATGCCCGATCGCGTGGCGGCTCTGCGTCCAGTCAAGGCTCTTCGAGCAATCACAGCACGCACGTAAGCCAAATCCAAATAGCAGTCTTCGCACGCCAACTTGGAAGTGTATCTCCGAACGTATAGCTCTTGATTCGTGACAAGTTCAGTGTGTGAATGCTTGCTTTGAATCCGAATTCGAATTCCGGTATATACACACACAGGCACCGACGAAATAGTTTGGCACTTTTAAACTATCGTTTACCACGTGCTTGGCGGTGATTAATGCAAAGAAATATTTTATAAATATTTTAAAGGTATAAGAAATCCCCTAATCCGTTATAGATAGAGCCTTATGCGCCGGTGCATTACAAAAGATGCGAGCAGAATGTTTTCACAACGACGTGTAAAATTATATGACGAGCATAATATTATAAAATTAATTAGGTAATCAATAAATATTCAGTAAATTCGTCTTGGCACCAAAGGACAGACTGACATTGAAAACGAATTAAATTCAACTGGCACATAGCGCGTCATTCTCAAGCGTTCATGGATACACGTGTCTATTGTATTTTTCTTTTGATTTTCCCTCACGATTCCTTTACCGCCCACTTGGATTAAGTTACAAATTTGATACCATTAAGACGAGAACTTGTCACGAAAACATCTATTTTATAAGCCATCACATTTTTTGAAACATAATTACAATGACTTTTTGCAAAGCGCCCGCGGTGTATCATGCCGACGGGGTTAAAAGCCTTATATTATCAGATCCGGTACACGACTAAAATTACTTTTATGGCAACATTCTTAAGCTATGATGAATATATTAAATTCGAGCCAAGATCACATGACTTGTAAACATTAAGGATTACTCACATAGAGATTTTCTGTTTTTATTAAATTAAATTACCATCCCACGTTTAAGCTATGTTTGAACTTTTTGACAACCTTCAAAAATAAAAGATCAAATACATATTCAACTTTTCTTTTCCGACTAATAAAATCGTTTATATTTTTGACCGTTCACGCCCAAAGGCCATCGTACGAGAACGTCAAAAAAAAATCGAATCGAAACAGCTGGCCAAACTTTCTAACGATTCATTCCATTGCAGAGCGTGTCATCGGGTTCGTTGCTGTTAAGTGCGGCGCATTTGGCGCGCATGAGCGGCAGGGCCGCTGGGCGGGACGAGCGCGGCTCGTGTCAAGGCAAAACGGGCTACAGCCATAAAGTCACGATGACCAGCACCGTGATGTCGATACCGGAGGAGTCACGCGAGGTGGCCGACAAGTTTTGGACGGACGTGAAAAGGGGCCCAGGGGCCAAGCAGGACGCGGCTTCGGTCGCTAGCTCCACACACTTCACCGTCGTCAACGGCTTCACCAAGCAACGAACCGAGAAGGAACCCAAATCCTGCTGCTGCAACCACTCCCACCAGATAACCGTACTAGTCATATCGATGACTATACTGCTCTCGGCGTGCATATTGGCGGCGATATGTTTTGTGGAAAGTAAGTTTACTAACAAATTACTTATTTTATGCCTGCTTTTTTTTTCTATATAAATTATCATTTATTTAGGTATCATTTATTTATAACATGAAGAAAGAGTATGACCCTCCATGTTATAAAAACTATCAATTTTGTGCTAATTATTATCATTAGGGATGTTGTTTAAAACGATAAATATAAGGGGCAGGTTTTAAGTGCCGTCATAACCGGCCGGACGAAGTCACGGGCACTTCTAGTGCTATATAATTTCGGTATAAATAGCTCATTGTCCGGGCACGCGCTTTTAATTCAATGCACTCTAGTAACCTGAGTTTGATCCTCGGTACCGGCACCAATGAAATTGTTAATTTAAGTGTTGACTTATCACATGCTCATGATATTTGAAGTCCACCAATTCGCAATGGGGACGGACTCCTCGGTAAAGAGGACGCCCGTGCAAACCAGTGGGACAAAGATTGGCTTTACTTTTTACTTTACTATACGGTAATCCATACTTCCATACTAATATTATAAATACGAAAGTAACTATGTCTGTCTGTCTGTCTGTCTGTCTGTCTTGCTTTCACTCCAAAACTATTGAACCGATTTAAATGAAATTTGGTACACAGATAGTCTAGAGCCTAAGAATTTTTTAAATGGAAAAGTGTTATAAAAGATATTTATAATTAACATATTATATAAAAGGGATTCAACGCGAGCAAAGTCGCGGGCAAAAAGCTATTTAATAATAAATAACATTTCTTGTTTCAGTGAGAATGCGCAAGGAGACTGGCATCTACAAGTATTCCTAAACATATAAAACTTCAAAACAATATCTTTCAATACCACAAAATTGTACACATCTAAAAATTAATTGTTAGGGGCATTTCTTCAGTCTTCTTGTTTTTAGAAGCATTGTAATATCTTTTTATGATTTCACGATTACAATTTGAAGACTACATAAATAGATTAGTCCAATGTTTGTAAATAAATAAAAATGCGTGCAATAATTAACCGCTATGAACATAAACAGTGTAGAATATAGCATAAGTTAATATTATTTATTTCACAGTGCTAAATATTTGTGAAAATTTATTGGCTAAAAGTTATTTACACGTATGACGCGTTTGTATTTTATTTTCGAACTTATAAAGTATTATAAATTAAAAAAAATAATGTATTTGGCAGATTTGTTCGTTGATGTGTAATATAGTATCTTAGGGCTTTTATTTATGAATATTTAATTAATTTGAATAGCTGTTACGGTAAAATTCTCACAGTAATTTTTAAAATTGTAAATGAAAGTTAGAATATGTATGAAGAAATATGTGCATTTTTTTTTATATAAATATGCACAAATTTCTATCAACGTTCATATTTCACTCTCTGCTATTAACATTTATAGAGATTTGTAAATATTAGATAGCTTAATTTTCAGATGGACTGTGATAATCGAACACAAATATACATGTCAGTGTTGTTTCGCTGTAATCAATACCATTAATAAATATTTAAAATGTAGTTATTTTTTATTGTAATTCCCGGTTTTCGGTTATTTAACTTAAAGAATCTAATACTAATAAATCATGTCAATCAATTCTAAAAAAATTTATTAGTCGTGTGTGTTCGTTTTAATATTCCTCATAACAACAGGAAGTGACAATAATCATGTCTGTTGTAAAAATGCCCATGAAATTATTATTTTTAAGTCATCATCAGTACTCGTGAACATAAACAAAGGCCCTGAATAATCTGCCATCAGCAGAATGGATGTTTACTGCGTAGTTTACGCAGTATTTACTGTTTATTTATGTGAAAAGGTGGTAAGCGAGGTGTCGGTTTACCACATGTTAGTGATAACCACCGTCCATTGACATTTGCACGCCCTTAGGGTTGCAGATGCGTTGCCACATTATAATAAAGTAGGCCCCGGACACCTTACTCACCAGACGTAACTACTTCATTTTCATATTAAATTAACTAAATAATTACTACAGATGAAAAGGCAAACACTTGCGGTAAGAAAAACAATCGAAAAAAAGGTTGAATGAATGACATTAATTACGCAGTCAATCCTACAAAACAATTCTGCAATCAACAATTGGCGATACTTTCAACGGCTTCGCAATACGGATGGGTAGCACCATAAGCTATGCATATACAACTTATAAAATGCGCGTACATTTCCACGCACACAAGCAAACTATACCAAGGATGAGCCACGTGCGGCCCCTTAAATATGCGGCCCGCCAAGCATTTCTAAAATTGAATTTATTTTATCGAATTTCTCCCATCAATACATTGTTATAAAATTAATTATAATAAAATGGTAGTACGTCATGAACCGAAATATTTTTTGTTATTTTCTTGTTTGTTTTTACCTTGCATTAAATTTTTTATATGAAATCTTTACTTTTTTTTTAATTTTATACTTTTAATTCTAATATTTATCAGAAATAAAATTTCGTAAATTATTATGTGCGGCCCGCCAAAAAATTTGAAATTTAAATCGGCCCATTGATTAAAAAGGTTGCTCACCACTGTGCTATACGATACTTCACAAGACGCTTTTTATGAGAAATCAAAAGCAAACCACCGCCGAAATCACAGAGCGGTGCGATGCTTCACGAGGCACGAGTTTTCTTCGCAAAGTTACTTAGAAACACTAATAGATGGCGCGAAATCAATAAACACGGAAAGCCCTGAGTTAGGTACAGTTAAAGTTAACATTTACATTTGTACACGACAACTTGCCTGCAGTTCCCTCATTACTGGACGATAACATAATTGCTTAATAGACGTCCATTATCGTAAAAATTAATTGAGGCCATGGTACGCTCTTGGAAAAGCCAAGCTATTTGCAAATTTTCAGAAAGTGAATTAAGACTGACACAATAAAAAAAATGGTTACTCCACAAATCTATTTCTTTTTCGACAGGTTTATCAATATGTGAAACATAATATATTATTACTCACCTCAACTTCTTCCAGTGTCTGCGTCCACCTGTAGTGCTCCAGATCACATCCATTTCCAGCATTTGGTTTAAGTTTACCCTTCTCCTTAGGGTCCTCTTCTTCATCTGGTATGTTATCACTTTCCTTGTCACTGCCCGAACCTTCACCACCTCCAACTTCAGTTTCTACAATAAGAAAAAAAAAGAATAAATCCGGACAGCCACTAAGTAATAACTTAAAATACTTAAAGTACATTGTTACTCATTTCTAAAAAAATTAACATAATATTTATATTAGTTAGTAAAGTAGTTTAAGAGTGGTAGTGCCACACAACAGTGATCACTGTTGCATGAATGGGCAGGTTCGTTCATGGTCACGGGACAGACGGACACAAAAACAACAAACAAAATCCGTGAACTATTTTCATTTAATATGTATAATATTCGCGTAAAAACAAGAAAACAATATACCACATATTAATCTATTATATTCATCTAGTCTATCCAGTAATCTCATTTAGAGACTTCACACAATAAAGATACTTAAAATAAATATAGTTTATAAAATATATACAATTTTCATGGCCAATTAATGGTCCTTTACCCTCTCATTCATTTTTGCATGTGCACAGATGTATTCCATAGAAATTTAGGAACACATTTTGACTTCACATGCAAATTCACAATAAAATTTTAGTTTTTTTAAGTTTTTTATGCTTCATATACTGCTTTTTTTCAGATTTTTTGGTTTAGCTAACGAAAGAAAACAATATGGAATAAGAGATTTTGTAAATAACCCTACCATACTAATGAATTGAGTTTAAGTAATATTTGCTTATGTGTGTTAATATGGTAATTAAAATTGCACTGCTCGGCAAAGGCCTCCTCGGTACAGAGGGTATTAGAGAATCCACCACACAACACTGCTGATTGGTGGACCTCAGTTATATTGGAAACATTTTTTTTTGTAATTACAGTAGAATAATACGATCCTGCTTAATACGATTTCTCGCATGATACGTCATTTTACACCAGTCCCTGAAACTTGAGACATATTTTCATACATTTCTTAACTTGTCAGTTGACCTAGTGGTCAACTGACTGAAGAAATTATAGAAAAATACAGAATGGGATGCGTGCATAGAACAATGCAAAAGATAGGAACCGCTCATATGTAGCCTAATAAATAATATGTGTGAGAACGCGTAAAATTTCTGAAGCGAAATGATTGTTGTAAAAACCGCCATGGCATTATGTACCGTTAATTCAGTGGGGAATCAGAGACGGTGGCACAAATGTTGATACATGGGTGGCAACACTTCCCAAATTGTTGCAAAATTACGAATCGTGAGACATTTTTGATCTTATAATCAGTTTGTCTGTCATACCAAAATAAGTGATTACTTTAAATAACATTATTATAATAACACTACATATTTAAATATCTACATTTATACGAAATTAGAACATAATACAAGATTATGTTATAACATAATACGCTTTTTCGCTTAAGACGCGTTTTTGGTTGGTTCCCAATGAAATTGTCTTAAACGGGTTTTTACTGTATTTCAAAAATATGCAGGTCTCCTCACAATGTTTTCCTTGAGCATGTGATATGTAGCACTTAAAATTAACAATTTTATTGATGCCGGCACCATAGGAATCTCAGGTTGTTTGAGTGTATTGAATTAACAGTGAGCATCGAGACAATGAGCTATCACAGCTTCGGTTAGACAAAATCAGTAAAATCTTAGATTGCAAAATTTTGTGATTGGTTGATAATTTAATCTAGACTTACTAATTTTATCTCTTTCAATGTCTTCTTGCATTTCAGCTGCCTCTTGATCAGTGATTTCAGTCACTTTAGCTGGCTCAAAATCCTGTGCAAGTCTTTCTTGTTCTTTTCTCTGTTGAATATCCTTTAACCTTTTTTCAGCTTCCTCTTTTTCTTTTTTGATTTTATTTGCTTCTTCACGTGCTTTTTTTGCATGTACATAAAAAGTGTCTTTCACAACCTGTAAAAGACAAAGTAACAATTATTACATAACACAATAAACTAACAATGTAACGAAAATATTTACAACCTTAAGTATCAATTAATGCACTTACAAATATTTTTAATTGATAGAGAAATGTCAGTATTTAAATAAAATATACACATAATATATAAATGTAAGTGAAAATTTATGAAAATGGTTATATATCGAGAAATATCTTTAGGTATTCTTTATTGATAAATAACCTAAATTAGAGATCAATATTTGTTGAACCTTTTTAATGAGGACTTGGTGAGCTCATCTCACTTCACAGGGCTCTATAATATACAGCGTGTCTTAACAATTGCGACAATAAATGAACGCACATATTAGAGGATAAATTTTTAAAACTGTATTAAACATTTATATTCTTTAAACATCAATATTTACCAAGTTATTAAATTTTCCAAAACAACGAATTTTAGAACACCCTTACGTATAAAACTGTAACGTAAAGTTCATTTGTAAAGGTCACGATCGCGATTGTAAAGACACACTGTATATAATAAATGTCCAGCTAACATTCCTAATAAATCGGTTTGAAGTAAACTATAAGATAGTATATACAGTGTGACGTTACAACCACAACAATAAATGAACACACATCTAACGCTACTTGCCAATAATCATAAAAAATATAAAATGTTAAAAAAATCCATAGTTAAAAAAATATATTTTACAAACTAATTAAACAAAAAAGAAACAAAATTTTTAACATCCTATTCAACTACAAGTGACTGATTCATACCTGCAGAGACTTTTTCATTCATTGCCACAATATTGCATCACAAGTCTCTGCTTCTAAAAGTATGTATCTTTTTTAAATTCATTCAAACCATTCATATGCTTTGTGACCATTACAAAAGAACTTCATGTTACAGTTTTATACAAAATTTTTTGTTTTGTAAAATTTAATAACCCGGTAAATATTGATGTTTAAAGAATGTAAATACTTAATACAATTTTAAAAAGTTATCTTCTATATTTGTTTTCGTTTATTGTCGCGGTGGTAACAACATGCTGTGTAAAAAATAAAATCTCTTAAAAACACATATTTTTTTAGTTTTCGTAATCAATTTTGGAAATCCATAATAGCTTGTTGGCTGTATTTAATATTATATAATTCCAAAATATTGTAAAATAGTTATAATTATTACATATTGTCATTGCCTAATCAGTACTTACAAACTGTATTTCTAGTTATGTTTTGAAATCAATAAAATGGCAGACAGTGAAAATACCATTTTTTAATTTTTCTTTTCTATTAAAATGAAGCATTTTTAAATTATGAATTATTTCAATATTTACATTTCTCTATCAATTAAAAATAAGTCCATGTAACTGCAAAATATTTAAAAAAATATATATTATCCAAGCACACATCTTGAGTATATTAAATAAAAAGTTAGCTAATAGTTGCAAGTTAATAATTTATATCTAGAGTTTAGGATAACTCGTAGATAAAGAAACATCATATTTATAAGTATCTACAGTAAACAAATCAATCTGTACATAGTATATAGAAACTAGCCATAAATCAAAGATGTACATTCACTCTTAAATTAAACAATTATGATTTTTAAAAGTATAAAAGAAAAATATTAATATTTATTCAATTTATTTCTTTTCTTTAATTCCATTCTTTCATTAAAATTTGAAGAAATAATACAATTTTTTTAACCATCTAGTTAATAGAAATACAGATTTATTAAACTTACCAGTAGTCCAAAGTTAAAGTTTGTTTATTGACAGACAAATTAATATGATGAAATTATTTTTTTATTGAATAATATTACCTCCCACATTAATAGATAACATTATTATGTGCTGTATAAAAGCATTTTACCTAAATCGCCAAACAGACAGTTGTAGATCTTTTATTATTCGATACTCATTCAAGCTTGTACTTGTAATACTTGACCTCCCAATTTAGTTAAATATCAACACTGATATCATTAAATGAATATACAAATCGCAACTATGCCCACTATCTAGTTCAAATTGATTTTTAAAAACCAAATAATATAAATACCTGCTCCCACTCTCCATCTTTCCCGCCTGTGAAAAAATCGGTTTTCCGGGCCAAAAATCCAACTATTGTAGATAATAGCTGAAAATACGAATTATTAAATTAGTTTTCATTAATAAATATATTTAATGACCGAGACTTACAGTAATTCAGTAATATATAAATAATAAACATTAAAGGTTAACCTAAGAAATTAACTAGAACATGCTAGAACCTTATTTGAAAGAATTCTACGAAAATTGATTAGTAGTAAAACCGAAAATATTAGTAGCAAAACACACGATATTTAGGACAACTTCCTGTATTTTTTATTTTAGTCTACACAGAATTAAATTACATACATCTTTCACTCCTCCTTCATGTTGTTGTGCCATTGCTAGAAGCATCGAATCGAACTTTTCAGGATCGTTAGTCATTGTTGAAGTAAGCTTAAGTTCCTTAAATTCCAATATATGGTATTTAAAATTATATTCTTATCTATGCAAAAGAAATATCCGCAATATAATTATAGAGTAAGTGAATGGTGAAATTGTTTTTTCTTTTCACTTCGAAAACAGTACTGAACTGATTGAACTACCGGCTAAATTGCAAACTAAGTATACCACAGATTATTTGAATTATTTCTCTGAAGAATTATGATTATGACACAGATTATATGTAATTTATATAGTGTGGTGGGCCGCCTATCTAAATTAGCTAACTATCGCAAAAATCAAAATATCAAAATATGCCATCCTAATAGTATCGTTGGAGATAGTACAATAGAATTAATGAAATAGATATCCTTTCGCATGAGGCATTTGACATCTAAATTTGTTTTTACTGGAAAATTTCTTTCGGAATAATATTTGGTAACAACTGCAAGCATTGATGTAATTATGACTAGTTTACAATTGCAAGCTTTGCAAAATGCAATTTCAGGAAGAATTCCAAAATTATGAAATAGTTTTGGAAATTCAGGAAGGAAGCAAAGGATCTTGTTCCCACTCATGTCGGTATGAACACTCGTATTTTCTCATCATGCACGGAAGGCCAGTACACACATGAAACACCAAAAGAGAATAAGGTATAGAATCATAGAAAATTAGAAAAAACAACAAACATTGACATGAACAATCAGTTGTATTAATAACAAAATAAACCTTATTGCTAATTTATTACCGTTCATAATCATATGACGTACCTACATTCAAATAAAATAATCGAGAAATCCCCGTACTATGTGGGACGAAAGTTGCCACATCAGAAAATAATTTGCTCTCATCATCATCATCATCATTTCAGCCTGTTTGAGTCCACTGCTGAACATAGGCCTCCCCCATAGAGTGCCATGAAGCACGATCCTGAGCCACCTGCATCCATCGACTTCCCGCACATTTGCACAGGTCGTCACTCCATCTAGTGGGGGGTCGTCCTACACTGCGATGGCCAGTACGAGGCTGCCACTCGAGAACCTTTCTTCCCTAACGGTTATCGGTTCTACGAGCTATATGGCCGGCCCATCGCCACTTCAGCTTGCTAATCCTCTGAGCTATGTCGGTTATCTTAGTTCTACTGCTGATGTCTTCGTTACGAACTCTATCACGCAGAGAAATACCGAGCACAGCCCGCTCCATAGCTCGCTGAGCGACTTTGAGCTTCCTCATACGGCCAGCAGTGAAGGACCACGTCTCGGTTCCGTAGGTCATCACTGGCAACACACAGTGATTGAAGACTTTAGTCTTCAAACACTGAGGTATATTCGACGAGAAGATTTGCCGAAGTTTCCCGAACGCTGCCCATCCGAGTTGGATTCGCCGATTAACCTCTGCGTCGAAGTTGGACTTACCTAGCCGGACTAACTGTCCAAGGTAAACGTACTCGTCAACAACTTCGAGCTCAGTGCTCCCAACAACAACCGGTATAGGCGTGACATGGACATTAGACATGATCTTCGTCTTCTCCATGTTCATCTTAAGGCCCACCCGTTGGGAGACACTGTTGAGATCATTGAGCATAGCACCCAGGTCCTCCAGCGATTCTGCCATGATGACTATATCGTCGGCAAATCGAAGGTAGGTGATGTATTCGCCATTGATGTTAATACCTCGTCCTTTCCAGTCCAGAAGCTTAAAAACATCTTCCAACGCAGCGGTGAAGAGTTTCGGGGATATGACATCACCCTGTCTTACACCCTTCTGCAGTTGGATAGGTTTTGTACTACTGGACTGTACTTGGACGGACATCGTAGCCTTGTTATACAAACACTGCAGCTCTTCGATATACCGACAGTCAATTTGGCACTGCTGAAGAGCCTGGAGTACCGCCCAAATTTCGGCAGAATCGAAGGCTTTCTCATAGTCCACATACGCTAGGCACAAAGGCAGATTATACTCTTCGGTCTTCTGTATAATCTGCCACAAGGTGTGTATGTGGTCTATGGTACTGAAGCCTTTTCGGAATCCGGCTTGTTCGGGAGGCTGGAAGTCGTCGAGTCTGGAAGCGAGACGATTCAAGATGACTCTTAAGAACAGCACATAGACGCGGCTCAGAAGGGATATTGGTCTATAGTTCTTCAAGAGAGCGTTATCGCCTTTCTTGAAGAACAGCACCACCACACTTCTGCTCCACGCCTTTGGTGTAGCACCACCCTGAAGGACGGAATTAAAGAGCCTCTGAAGGACTACAAGTACCGGTTCTCCACCCGCTTTCAGAAGCTCTGCTGTAATTCCATCCTCTCCCGATGCCTTGCCGTTCTTAAGATGGTCAAGAGCCATTCTAATCTCGCTCAGACTGACTTCCGGGATATTCTCGGAATAGTGTCGGATAAGCTTTGCTCTTAGCGTTACTCACACATGTGTGTGGCTCCAACGACGATGTGTACAGCTGTCCATAGAACCTCTCAATCTCACTCAAAACCTCTGGTCTACTGGAGATGATAGCTCCGCTGTCAGTCTTCAACTTAGTCAGTTGGCTTTTTCCGATAGACAGATCTCTGGCGAAGACTTTTGAGCCTAGGTTCCGCTTTATAGCTCCCTCAATACGGACTGTATTGAAGTTGCGTAAGTCTCGCCGCATGTATTTGGAGATCTGCCTATTAAGCCGCCTGTAGTCTGACATGTCAGTTAAAGACTGCTGCCGCATCTCACGTCTTTTTCCCAAGAGTTTAAGAGTGTGATCGGAGAGTTTTATCATTCTATTTGTCCGGCGGGCCTTATAAAATTTAAGGCCCACGGCATGGGCAGTTTCCACGAGCTGAGCGTTAATATCGTCCACCGTGCTGCAATTTTCTAGGCATTGGAAGCGATTATGTAGCTCGAGCTGAAAGCTTTCGGAGTTCTGGATATGGGCACGAGATGGTCGGAGTGTGGACTTCATTAGACGAGATCTTTCCAGCCTGATGTTAATATTCAATGTGCCTCTCACCAATCGGTGATCACTGCCGGTCTTCACCCTTGTGATCACAGATACATCATTGAATATTTGCCGTTTGTTCGTCATAATGAAGTCTATCTCGTTTTTTACAGAACCATCGGGGCTAGTCCAGGTCCACTTTCTGTGGGGCTGCTTTTTGAAGAAGGAGTTCATCATAAAGAGTCCCTCCTCGACATAAAGTCAGCTAGCTGCTGCCCCCTTGGGTTCCATTGCCCTATTCCAAAACTACCTACTCTCAGCTCATCGTCTTTCCTTTTGCCTAGTTTTCGTTGAAGTCTCCCATTAACACCATGTACTGAGTTTTGGAAGAATGTATGGCTCGTGATATATCCTCATATATTGCCTCCACCTCATCATCGGGATGTGTGGACGTTGGTGCGTAAACCTGTATGACCTTCAGCGAATACCGTTTGGATATTCTGAGTATAAGGTACGCAACCCTCGACGACACACCCTCGATTTTAACAACGTTGTTAATGAGAGACTTGTGGACGATAAATCCGACACCTCCTTGGGACAGTTGGTCGCCCTCCCGGTGGTAAAACAGGTTGCCGGATTCGAGGATTATTGTGTCCTCCCCCTGTCTTCAGATTTCAGATAATCCTATTATATCCCAGCGCAGCCTGTTCACCTCTTCTTCCAGCTCTGTAATCTTCTCGTCAGTCCTCAATGTTCTTGCGTTGTATGTTGCCAGGTCCAGTCGCCGTCGTTGGTAGCCGAATCCTAGCCGGGGATTCTTAGCACCCCCTGCCCTGCCGTTACCATGACCGCTACCGTAGCCAGGAATAGCAGGGCCGCCGGGGACTGGGGGCCGCACATTTTGGACTTCTATCATGGTTGTGCCATAGTTGCCACGCCTGGCAAGCGGGTTGGCAACCGCAGTTCCTCCTCCTCGCACCTATAACGCTGCTGCCCGTTATTGGCCTGGTTATTTACGGTCTGGATGGTCGAGATGGTTATAAAAGTACTCCAAACTTTCAAATATATAAAAATACTCTTTGCTTCCACCTTAAAAGCCCTTGGAATCGGTTGCGCTCTTTGTAAGTTGAGTTTTCATCTTTTGTCTATAAGAGTAGCCGGTAGCAGATTTATAGAGAAACAGACCGTGTCATTTTGTCGTCGTACACAAGCTACGATATTTCATCTTACAGCAAACTATATGTACACATAAATTACTGCATACTATATTTATTTTGCTAGATAGTGATAAAGAATATCCGATTGTTACCTTGCAATTTTGCAAAGTGCATTCATCTCTAACTATATCTAGCGCGTTCTGTTATTATTATCTATGGCCTATGGAGTAAAGAAAAGTGAAAGAAGCCTGTGTCATTGGAGGTCATGCACTTTATTTTTATTCGCAAGATTTCTGTTATTACTAACGTTTCTTTTTCAATTTTATAACTTATATTAGAAACTAATGATTAGTATTATAGTTATGTGTAATAAAATACCGGTATGTCTTTTATTTAATGCTTTAATTCGGAAACAAACTTTTTAATTGATATACTCTGTCAAATAATAAAACAGCAAATTTTGTTTCAGACATTTCAAGGAAAAACGTAGTGATGGCAGATCAATTTTGTTTACGTTGGAATAATTTCCAAACGAATATAGTGAGTGCTTTAGATTCTTTAAAGTGTTCAGAAGATTTGGTCGATGTCACGCTTACCTGTGAAGGTAGAAATATCAAGGCCCATAAAGTGATACTGTCAGCATGCAGCCCATACTTTAGGAATGTGTTCAAGGTGAATGACTTGGGACATTAATAACCTTCATAATCCTGTGTATACTTATATACCTCGAAATTTTATGGCTGCTGTCAAATTATTGAATAAAATTGACAATATTTTTGTTTTTAGGAAAACCCCTGTCAACATCCTGTTATAATACTGAAAGATGTATCAGCTGATGATATTGTCAGCTTATTGTCCTATATGTATCAGGGTGAGGTTTTTATTGAAGAAAGCAAATTATCATCATTTTTGCATACTGCAGCATTATTGCAAGTAAAGGGATTGACAGGAGTTACACATCAGGTAAAATTTTCTATTATAATATATATGTTATTATTATTGGGTTAAAACTGTGAATCAGTTTTTTAAATAACTAAGATTATAACAATGGTAAATCAGATTTTCCTTTTTCAAGTGGTATTATTTTTTTAACATAGAAGAATGAAATTACTCAGAAATAATAAAATTTTGAAAAAGAAAAAAACAGTAAGAAAAAAGCTATTGTAATACAACAGAAATACTCCTTTACTTTATTTATTACATATAGCTTATGCTAATAATGATGCAATTAGATTTAATTGCGAATATGATTATATTTGTATCATTTTAAAGATGTGCAAAACCTTATTAGCACAAATCTACACTTAAAACAACTGACACAATGTATATACCAACCATTTTATGATATTGAGAGCAAAACTTTGGATCATTTAGGTTTTTAATTTACATTTATGCACAAACAATTTATTAAGGACTACCTGTGCCTGTGACCTTGTCCATGTGGAATTTAAAATAAATAAAATTACTGAAATAAAAGTAGCCTGAGTTACTCCTTATTATCCAGTGAAACCCCTGTTGAAATAGGACTAGCCATTTTAGATATTAGGCAACACAAACAGACCAAAATACCATCATTTCAAATTATGTCTTTTACAGTGTTTTAAAGTGAAAATTTAAAACAATTTTGTTATTCTAGCATTTAAAAAAGGTGTTCTATTGTTAATTTACATATTAATTTTAGATCTTATGTCTTATAATCTCATGTTAAATCTTGATTTTTTATAGGTCAGATATAATGTATTGTAATCTGTTGACATGTTTTATTATTTCGGAAGAAAGATTAAGTTGTAAAATTTTAATTTTTATTCTTTAATTTCTGTTTTACAGAACGAAACATTTTCATCCCCAAGAACAACTACTAAGTTATATACACAGTTGACTATATCCTCAAAATCAAACTTTGGTTCAGCTCAAAAAGAAGCAAAAGTGCCAGCGCTGAAGAAAAGACGTAGCAGCACATCAGACAAACCAAATGATATTGTAAACATTGAAAGCCATAAAAAGACTAGGGTTCTCGAAACATGTGATTTATATAATAGAAACAATGGTTCACATTCAATTAAAGTGGATAACCCTGTATTCGTATCTGAAAATCATATTGACAATAAAGTTGAAAGCAAAGCTGACACACCGATTATTACAACAAATGGTAAAAGTTCTTCCACTACCCAGGTAAAATTAACCTTCATTTTTCTTTTTTCATTTCATTGTAAGAGGATACAATGCTTTAATCTGCTTTCAATAAATTTCAACAACCAAAATGGAGTCTTTGTGTGTAGTATATTTAATTATAATATGAGCAGATACTTTCATGAAATGCCTGCTTTTGTTAACATATTATTATTATCTTTACACAGTTACAAATAAATACACTGACACTTATTTTAGCCAAAAATATAATATTTTTTTCTATTCTATCATGAACTAAAGTTTTAATAATAATACCACCACATGCACATGTAACACCTTTTATTAATAACGCGAATATCCTAAAGATGGACCTCCGCAGACAACTACTCTTTGCCTCACTTTTATTTGGGACAAATAAAAACTGAGAGCCGTTATATCTTTACAATAAGTTGATTTGGGCTAAAGATCAAAATGAGATTTATAATACAAGATCATCTAATTAGAAATTAGTTTATCCTTTCTTCTGTTCGGCCGCTTTTAGAGGCAGTTTCAAATACAATGCCACTAAGTGCTGGATCAACCTCCCTTGCGTGACCTGAAAACAATAAGTGGGTTTAATAACAAGTACAGATTGTATCTGCTTGTAGAACAAAAAAATACTGCCATTTAATTCTTATCAGCTTAATAATATGGTATAATATAATGTAATATAATTTGATATGATATAATATAGTATAATTTAATATAATATATACCTTATATTTTTTATACAGTGTGTCTCTACAATTGTGACAATAAATGAACATACATATAGAGGATAACTTTTTTAAATTGTATTAAATATTAACATTCTTTAAACATCAATATTTACCAAGTTATTAAATTTTCCAAAACAAACAATTTTAAACCTTATGCATTAAACTGTAACGGAAAGTTCATTTGTAAAAGTCAAAGCATATGAATGGGTTGAATGAATTTAAAAGAGACAAAACATACTGTTAGAAGGAGAGGCTAGTAATGCGACACTGTGGCAACGAATGAAAAAGTCTCTGAATGCATGAATCAGTCAGTTGTAGTTGTATAGGATGTTACAAATTTTGTTTTTTTTTTTACTTAATTAGTTTTTTTAATTATGAATTTTTTAACATTAAAATTTTTTTATGATGATGGGCAAGTAGCGTTAGTCGTGTGTTCATTTATTGTCCCGATGGTAACGACACGCTGTTTACCTGTATCATAAATTTATTTCGTCAATCATATTCTTACCTTTATTATGTGGCCAATGCGCAACGAGGTTTGTCTCGCATTTGATGTTTGAAATTATTACACGTGTCATAGTACCACAGAGTAGGGATAAACATTGGTAACCTAAAACCGAAATGGAAATATAGCAGCTGACACCCATTATTAAAAAAACAAACTTTAGTTTTAATTTTTACTTACCTCTGAATGATATTAATTATTTTTTGAATGATATTAATTAATTATTTTTAATTTACAGAACTTAAAAATAATTATGTATGTATTCATTGTGTTTAGATCGTGAATAAACATTTCTTCTTCTTCTTCTTAACTCTAACCAAAAATTATGGTGGCGAGAAAAACACTGTTCACTTGGTATATACAACACTATTCATATGGCAAGTGATAGTGAATATCTGCATCAATAGTGATATTCCCAACCTTAAATTGTTGGTAAGCTAGTCAGACAAAAAGCGGAAGAATAATTATTTCTACTCTACAAGTGTCCAAGTCGCTTTTGTAATTTGTCTAACACATTCATACATCAAATCAAGTTTTCAATATTGTTGATACATTTTTTATTATTTTTTTCTCTTTCCAGGGAAGTACTCATGAAGAAGTTCCTGTATCAATAAAAACAGAATGGATTGATGACAATACTTCTGCTTCGTGTCCAACTATAAACTCAGAAAATGATGACAGTCTCCCTGATTATGAAAATAGTATGCTGGCTAGATCTCTGCTTTCAGGTACAAATAATCCTTTTTTTATTTAGCACATCAATACAGATTTTTTATTCACTATAATAATTTTCTTTTTTCAGGCATTAACCCCTCAAAAAGTGATATTACAACTAACACAGCTAAAAAAGTCCCACCTGTTCTGGATTTACATTGTACAAGGCAAAAAGAAACTAACGCTGAATCTGGTTGTATCAATAATGCCTTTACTAAAAGTCCCAAAAGTGCATCAACGGAGGAGGCAATTGTTAAGGTAGAGAAGAATTCACCGCATTCTGATATGGAATATGAACCCGAAGTGCTTTTGTCTGAACACCAAGTTGGTGCAGAAACAGAAAATACTTATACACAGGAACAGTCACAAGCATTACTTTTATTGGCTGGCATGTCAAGTGGCCCCGTATTAGGTTCCGTAGCATCAACATCAAACCATGCAGCCATTTGTGGGGATTGCCCCCATTGTGGCATGAAGTATTCTAACCAATCTGCACTTAAGTATCATGTACGACTTATGCATTCAGATCTGACAAACAGATTATGTTGTTATTTGTGTCCAAGATCATTTACCATGAGAGAGACTTTTAAAGAGCATATGTGGACAAGTCATGGGCAGAGAAATTAATTGTCATTATTAATATTTGTGCCTTAAAATATTTTGTAAGTTTTTATATTGTTATATGACTCACATTTCTGTGACAAGTATTAGTGCCTTCCTGAGCCAAGTGATAAAACTACTGTAGTTAAAAAATGATTAGATAACAGAATTCATTTGTTAAATGATAACAAAGATTTTATTAGGACATAGTTATAAAAATTATAATTATTTGGAATTTTTTAAAAGGTGCAAACTCTTAAAAACAATTTATGGTGCTAGTACAGAAGCACTTGGATAGAGACTATTTGTGTAAATTTAATTTTTACTTTACTAATTTAGTTAAAATTATTTAGTTGAGTTATATTCATCAAAAATTAAATAGTTGAAGCATTTTTACTTTGCATCTATTTTGCAGATTTTAGAAAAAAAAATGCATTATAAAATGTGAAATAAAACTGATACTATAGTTTTATTATTAATTTATAATGTCTTTTTATTTAGTTGTAAATTTGTTTTCATAAATTCCTTTACTAAATAGGCATTGGTTGGGTAAATTGTTGGCAAATATGTATTTTAAACGAAGTGAAAATTATATTTTAAATATCTGTATAAGGTTATTTTTTAGTATCAAACCAATAAGGAGTAGAACAGATTATAAATAAATGTATGTTATTTGAATTTAGGAAGAAGTTTATTTAAATACAAATATTTTAAAATTGTAATCTTTAATATAATTATTATAATCTGTAGTTACCATACATTTATTTTGTTTTTGTGATAAAACAATATTTATAAAAATAAGGTTATATGTATGTTACTATAATATATGTATGTATACATACATATAATATGTTTTGATGATACATATTATATAAAGAAAATGATGACAGTCTCCTTTTACTTTTTATAGCTGTGCTTACCTATGTTATTTTTTTGTATTTGTTTATATATATTTTAAATATTAGGACAACAGTTTATTATAGTCCACTTATGGCAGTGCTCTTATTTTTATTAGGGAAGTATTGCGGAAACAAAAATACATGTTAAAATAGTTGAACTTTATTTAATTTGTTGAGAAAAATGTCTACAACAAATAAAAAAAAAAAACAAATTGTACTCAGCTAAGCCTCTGCAAATGTCTAAAACAGTATTTTTTAATAGACAATAAAGGCGACATATTATAACTAATGTTAACTATAGTAATAATTGTTATGTATATGTTCTTTTAATGCTTTTGGTAAATTGTGCCAAAAAGATTCAAACCATAAGAAATTATATTTTATATTATTTATGTTACTTTTCAACTATTTAAATTATTAAATAGATGTGTCAAAAAGAGTATATTGAAATAGAAACAGATTTATAATTTAGAATTAATCTATATTTAAGACTTTTTACGAATAATGAATGCCATTAGTGAAATCTTAAATTATTATGACCTTTATAATATACAAGTGATAAAATTAAGGAAGAAATTTATTTTAATATATAGACAAATAGTTATTAAAGAATTTTTATCATTATTATACCTAGTTAAATAATAAATTTTAATATGTTGTTGAATAGTTATTCAAAATTTTACATGATTTATATTTCAATTTATGTTATGAATAAAAGGTTTTGCTTCAGGAAATTTGTTATATTTTTTTTTTACTTATTTAATAAAAAATTGTAGAGATTAAGCAGATTTTATATGCCATTAATGGCACATCAAACTCTGCTTACATTTTTACAATAATTTGTGGTAGGTATTTGTGAACGAGTTTGATTTGGTTGCAACATAAGTGCCATCTCAATTTTCCATTTACGAATACGGATACTTTTTATTAAGTACGAATGGTTTACCAATGTACTTATAGGTACTTGATTTATTATTTCTTTTGAAACATATTCCTCCTTTTTGAAATAATAATACACAACCTACCTTTGGAATAACATCCACATTTGAAACATTATTTAATTATCTCGATAAATATGATCGGCAAGAGAATGAATTATGAATGAATATGAATTTGCAACTCCGAAAGCATTTTTTTTAAACTTCAAAATATGTTCTTAAAACCCTGGGGCTCCGGGCTTATGGCAGCAAATTTATAGGAAATGCCCAAATTTTTGTGAAACACGCAGTATTTCGATATATTATAATTGAGGTACTAGTCCTTGTCTACACTAAAAAAGTAAAAAATAAAGTCATAGTCTATACATGTCACACTGCTGAGTAAAGCTTATTCTGTACACAGGGTATTAGGGCATAGTCCACAATGCTGCCCCACTGCGGATTGACTTTAATTATATTTGAAATATTTTCTTATTCCTTACGAAGTTTTTTTTTACCCCTTAGTACGTGAGAAATCAGCGCTTAAAATAAACGATTTTTTTGGTGCCGGCGCCGGGTATCGAATTCGGGTTGCCCTAATATATTGAAATAAAGGCGATCGCCTGGACACTGAGCTATTACGCTTTACACCAAGTGTTTGATTAATTTTTGACTGTTCCCCAGGAGTAAGTAATATAACTAAATAGTGATTATTAAATAAGTACATTCAGTTGGCACAGAGACCTCTGAGACGTTCTACGGTACCTAAAATAGTACACCTAATGAACATATCCGATTGACCATAGTCCAAGCCAAGGGATCACGTCACCTGAGTCCGCGGGTTATTTACCCACGGACTTCTTCCGACGAAGCTGCTAAAGCCGCTAGAACAAGCGGCACAAGCTAACTAGATTTACACAAAAAAAAAATCCAATAACAAGTAATATGGCAAAAAATAATGTTATTTGAAATTAATTGAAATGCAATAAATTCTTTTTTTATTTCCGATAGTAATGATCTCGTGAATTTGGAAAATTCCTTATAAGATATCTAAGAGCGATCATATAATCAAAACTATTTATATCTTCCAGTAACTTGGTGCTCTTTTTATTTTCTATCGTTTCTTGATTTGTAATTTAACATGTTGGCAAATACCTTGACGGCGTTCTTTGCACGCGCAAAGAAACTGATGAATCAAGTTTTTAAATGCAATAGAATACGAGCCCAGATTGGTTGCAGGCTACAAATCGAAAACAATGCTGTGATGACTTAACTTAAAATATATAACGTCAGGGGGTAAAATTTAAAACATTGTAGCTAAAAGCCGAATGCATTTGCCAAGAACTAAAATGCAGTTCTTTTCACCACTATGATATAATATAAATATTTAACAGCTGTTGATATTGTGACCCTTTTAATAGAAGTATTTATCGTAGATTTTTAACTTATATAAAAGTTTGTTATATAAAATAAATCTGTAGTGTACTTTTTTTACTATACTAACTAAAGAATTATGAATTTAAAATGCAACTTATTATTCTATTCTTACTACAAACAAAGTTTAAACTCTAAAAGAGTTTTTAAGCTTTAACGTTTTTAAGGGTAGTTCGAAAAAAACGTAATAATTACTTTTCTTTCAGACAGCATGATGTTGAAAGTTGAGTGCATCGCGACGTGCATACTACGTAAAATGTCATATACGAAGTGTCGATAGCCTGTGATATACGTAGAGGCGTTCGAGGAAGCCCCTTAATGCGGAGACAGCTCCACTGGGACGCTATTGATCGTCATCCGCCGTCAGTGGCCGAGCGCCCCTATTGATTCGCCGCAATCTGCATGATAACCCGCGCCTGGCTTCTCTATTCACTGTATATTATACGGCATACATTAGACACACCTAACGGAAAACTTTTAGTATTTTGGTACAACTTCTAAATTGTCGTCTAATCCCTGGCGATTTAAAAGCTTCAAAATGTATTTCAACGTAAATCATTTTAAGCAAGCCGTTATAACGTATTGTTTAAAGTAACAGGTATAAAGGTACAACTGTGTAGGTATGTACTTGCTAGATAAAATATCAAAAGTATGCTCTATTTAAGTCTAATCTAATCTAATAGTGTCTCCATAATGTCTGACAATTACATTGATATTTTAACTTAATGGTAAAACATACGCAAATTTAAAGTTCACAAGAGGAGTAAGGTCGTAAACAAAATTTAAACTTTTAAACAACTTTATAACGGCTCGAAAATTATTTATTTTTAAGGTGAAACTAGAGTAACGCTTACACAGCTTATTTGTCGGAGCTAGCATTAGTTACCTTTAATACAATATATAAACATTACATTTGTTTAATAACATTTAAAAACATTAAAAAAAAACGTGTATAAAGAGAGCAAGGACTCGCAGTTTATGCTGCTAAAATTTTGGCGCAATTAAAAACGACACTCATTAATATTTGACAAATAGATCAATTTTGTTAAGTAACGAAAAATCATTAATAAAACCTATAAAATGTATGTAAGGATTATTATATTATGTATTATCATAGCGATTCAAAAATATCTATGATCATTAAATTTCACATAAATAAGGGAAGTTTTTTTATCACCATAGTGAGATGAGATCTTCATCTAATATCACTAAGGTGTAGATTTTCTATGATCTAAATTGTCATATACTGCTTACAAATTTTATACTGTTTCTTGATTCTTAACAAAAAGGAAAAGGAATGAATAGGAATGTTTGTTATTGATTAGCTGTTAGGCGCAACCCGTAGCTCGTTGCAAAACTTACTAGTATTATCTATTTTAAGCCTGTCGTACTATCACTCGCTAGAAATATGTACTAAACACCACAGAAATGCTGCTCATATTTACTTATATACTTTTTATAAAAATATTTTTATTTTTATTACTTGATTACGAGTAACGTTAAGTAAATATTGATTAGCAATTAGAAGTTTTAGTATTCATTTAACTGAAAATGTGCGGGAAGTCGATGGATGAAGGTGGCTCAGGATCGTGCTTCGTGGCAGTCTAATGAGAAGGTATATGTACATGTAGAATATAACAGGCAGAAATGATTACGATGATGAAAAACTGCATACTTGGTAATCACGATATTGAACTATTTCTGATCTTTAATTTTAGTACAGGAATCATGGGGAATGTTGAAGTTTGTGTATAGATTTATTTAGATTATTTAGCGTGATTTATATCGTAACATGATCTTGGACGAGAAATGCAACTTTTTATCAATTTTATTATCAATGTAGACATTATAGGTGGAGTTGTTTTTTTTAATGAGAGAACTCCCTTTGAGTGATCGCTGCCTCCAAGGGACGTGTACAAAACCCTTGATAGCTGATACGTAAATAAGCCCTTCATAACAGATGAACCCCAAAAGTATAACACTTCCATTTCACGTTGGTATTCTGTGGTCGACTTTCAGAACAAGTCTGTGCAAGCGTGTAACGGCAAAAGATGTTGCGTGGGTACACTACAGAACTAAAAGATTTGTTTTTAATACCTGCGTGCATTATTTGATGGGTTTAAATTTGGAGACATTTTCATTATTTCAGTTTAGGATAAAATATGTATGGCTCCATACTATTCTAAATCAAAAGAATCCCAAAATCAACTTAGTGAAATATATATCCGATATGTTAAAATAAAAGAGCAGTAATAACAGAACACCTGTGGTTTATCACCTATGCGATGTTTATATTCTGTAATACAATGCAAATTTATTATATAATGTTTGAGTACATATATACTTTTTTTTATTCATCTTGATAAGACTGAAATCGGATTTTTTTACATCTTTATCGATTATTATCGTTTAAAAGTTTAATCAAGTTAGTCAGACGGTTTTTCACAACGTCCGTTAACGAACATCTGACAATAAAATAGAATACTCAAATAGAATAAACAGCACACTTACGTAAAATAAAAAACAGCCTTGAAATGTCCCACTACAGGGCATACTCCACCAGGCGTCCCCATTGCGGATTGGCGGAAAGAAAGAAAGAAAGATACGTTTATTTGTTAGAACATCGTACAATATAGGTCTTAAAAGCTGTGGATCCTTTATGTTCTACCATTTCTGGTGTACAAATATTTCATTTTACATATAAAACATGCAAAAAAAAAACAAAATAAAAGTAAATATAATCTAGGAAAACTGTTTTTATAAAATTTTATCATTTAAAAAATCCCCTGTGGAATAATAACATTTACTTATCAAAAACTTAAACAGATTTCACTTAACCAATTTTAAATTCAAAGTTTTTAATCTATTTGGTAATTTATTATATATCCTAATGGCCATACAATAACAGTTTTTGCTGAATATTGTGGCTGAGGTACGATGGGGCGGATTTCACATACCTTCGAAATATTATTTTTTTCGTTATTATTTCGAAAATATGCAAGTTTCCTTGCTATGTTTTCCTTCACCGTTAAGCACGTGATAGGTCAGCACTTAAAATTACCGGTGCCGGTACATGGGGATCGAACTCAGGTTGCTCGAGTAAATTGAATTAAAAGCGAGCGCCCGGACCATGAGCTATTACGGCTTATTGTAAAATAAAATACTCACAAAATTATTTAAATCACAAATTTATCAATACACAATCTTATATTAGATCTTATCTTAGATTTTAAACATCGATATCTTTACATAGCATTTCCTTGTGTTATATATGACTATGTACTTAATAAAAAGTATGTAAAGTATGTGACTAAGTTCTCAATAAAAAGTATACTGTAAGCTTCGGACTATTTTGATAAGATTTTAGTGGGTTTGTGAGATTGATTCTAAGTGAATGACAAATGTCTTACGGTGTTAGGGTTACATTGATAGTTATCGTATATGTATGTAACATTGGCATATCGCAGTATTTCTGTGGCGAAATAAAAGTGCGATTGCAGAGGTCTAACACGGCGAAGGACATGGGGCGGGTGCGTGTAGCGTCGCATGACTATCGTCGATATGGGTCACTGACGCCTACGCGCAATTCGATAAAACTTTGCAAGTTTTCGCCACCTCTATATCCAGTGTCGGACAGTCCAAAAATTAAGTTAAATGCAACATGAGCATTTAAAAAAACATGCAGTCTCATAAATATACAGTGAACGTACTTATAAAACAGATAACAACTTGTAAAGAAAGTTTTGCAGCATGTTTCAGTGTTTTATTTTTATGGTCAAGTTTGTACAAGAGTTTAAAAATTTGAAAGAACCGCATGCAGGTAAGTGTATAAAAAGTTTGCTCTTACTAATTTATAGTATCATAAAATAAATTATAAAATTATAAAAAAGTTAAGATCTTCCGAAAGAACGGCGAAATTTTAATTTTAGCAGTGAGATTGTTTCGCTCTACTTTGTGGCTACACGGCGAACGTAAGCACAGCGAAAGTGTGCACTAATTAATAGTGCAAAGTATCGATCAATTGTTTCACCATGGTTCTAAATATAAAATTCCGTTGGGGAAGACAAAGTTCGCGCGCAATACGGGCGCGGGCAGGTAGTGCGGGCGCGGGCACGCGGCGGCGGCGTATCGATTCCGCGCCGCCTTCAGTCGGCGTCCGCCGAGCGCCGCGCTGCGCCGAGCGCCGGCGAGCGCCCGTCCCACGCCCCTCCACCGGCCCCCCAGGCCCTCCTCGCCCAAATCTCTCGCCGTCGCCGGCAAACTCGAACGGCCTCTTTTCGCTAACCAACGTCGCAGCCGCGCCGTCGCGCTCTAACTCGACGACGCGCGGAACATTATCAAGAGTTGCCGCGTCAGTATCAGAGCCGGAAAGGAATTCTTTTTTAATTATGAGCGGGCCGATTTCGTCATGCGTATAGTTCGAGCAGCGGCAGCGTCGTGGTAGTGAGCGAGCGCGGGAGTGATGAAGACAAACGCGCGCGGGCGGACACCGCCGGCGGCGCGGGCGGCGTGCGCGCTGCCGGCTGCGTAGGCGCACAGCCATGGACTGCTGCAACTACGGCGAGTACCGCCACGCGCACGGGCAGTACGCGTGGGACGGCTACGGCTACGCGCTGCCCTACGCGCCCTATGCGCACGGCTACTATGCGCCGCACGCGCACGACCCCTACGCGCGATATTATCGCTACGACTACCCCGCACCGCACACACATCACAATGAGCATCCAATGCCAATGGGTTTGTATACTTTTTGATTCGATATTCCGAAAAAGGATTAATTCATAAAATACAACGTAGCCGTATTCTATGTAGAATTTCATTTTAATGTCTTAAATAAAACTATTTTACGATATCTTATCATGCGTAAGATTTTCTTAGCTTTTAACAATTCTAATTGCTTTAATAGCACTTAATATGTGTACCCAAAAACATATTGAACATATATTGTGGGTACATATATAAAATAAAAAAATGTTTTAGGAAACATTATTGAAACGAAGTTCCTTATCGCGCGTTGTGAAAGGGGGCTAGACGGAAAAAATTTTCACGAAAAGTTGTAACGACACTTTTTGCTATAGTAAGCTATTGTAAGCTGTGCGGCGTGCGCATGTTTCTCTGTTTCCCTCTCTCTCTCTCTCTTTCTCTCTCTCTTATAGAAAGCAAGCCAGATTTTCATTTCTATTTCGCATTGAACAGTATGGTGTCGCGACGATTATTTTTGTTGAGTGTATACAGGTTTTTTGTACATAATAAATAATAAAAAAATAATAATAATGAATTTAAGATATAATTAAATTTTATATGGTCAATTTATATAATTATATATTTTTAAAATTTTATTACAATTCCTTCACTAATTAATCGAAAGGAACTTCGTTCCATACGGGTGTCCCTTGACACCTCTCAATTTTTTACACCACGTTCTCTAAGCAACGTTTATTCTATTGGTTTTAGATAACTGATAAACATACTTAAATATACTTTTCTTTTGTAAATAAACACATATTATACATAATTATATAAACACCCAGTCAGTAGAGTAGTTTTCAGTAGTGGAGATCGAACCCACACCCTCTGGCGCAAGAGACAGGTTCACTACCCACCACGCCAATCGGATCGTCAACAACAATATGTATAATATGTATTTATTTACAAAAGAAAAGTATGTTTAAGTAAGTTTATCAGTTATCTAGTACCCATAGTACAAGTGCTTAGTTTAGGACTAGAGAACGTTGTGTAAAAATGTGTCCTAAATAACCTGTATATTTTAAATTGCGAAAGGAACATCGGATCTAGTTTAAAAACTTTTTGCATATGTAAAAAATTATCTTTATAGAAAATATCTTTGTTTAAAATGATGAAACTGTTTGCTATCAGTTTTAGTTACATGAAAAATTAAATAAAAAATGTTTTAACTTTGCCTTTATAGGAATTTGTGTTTGTAAGAAAAATGCAAAGATTTAAAATGCGAACTATCATTTTAAATCTTTGCAATTTTCTAAAAAATTAAATGTTATGTATTCTTAACTGCTTTTTTTAAACCAGAGTCCAGTAAAATTTTCACTGCGTTAAAATCGCGTCATTGAAGTCTGTTTAGCATAATCAGTTTTCAGTTCGTGCGTAATTGAATTATAAACACGTCTGCCGGGATCCGTTTCGCTGCGTTTCGTCCAAACGGCTTGCATACGGGTGATCAGATGTTCGTTTACCAATACGAGAGAGATCGGAATCCGGTCGCGTGGCGTGGCGACATTCTGAACAATGAAGAATGAAGCAAGAATTAATGTTTACGTTTGGGCGGATTCCTCCGCGTCTACGTCACGTGTCCATGGCGGGGGACTCAGCAAGGGGGAGGGGGGGGGGCAGAGTCGCTCTACAGGTGGTCCCCCCCCTGACGCGATTGATTGCCCGCACAGCGCACAACCACCGCCACTCAACATATTGACCGGGACGCTAACGCCCGCGTCGCCTCTCGCCTGCAACTTCGCGCAAGGTCTACGTAACACCAGCAACCTCGTCGCTTTTTATGCGGGCGTATACCCACTATGAATTTTCGAGGTTAACTTTTTATGCACCGTATCCGTATATATATAGGACCAAGTCACTGACTTAGATCGCAGTCACAGATTCCAGCTAAACTTAGGTTTTCGGTAACATAAAATAATACATAATATGTACAAAAATTATGATATACTAATTACGTACGTTCTTCACTACGTTCTCAAAATTAATGATTGTAATATTATTTTAAACATCGCAAAGTTGCTCACACAGTTATTGATCACTATAGATTATATTATATGTTTATGTTGCTGAAGAGTCAGAACACGAAGTAAATTATGATCAAATTTAAATAAAATTTTTAATGAAGTTTTACATTTAAACAACTCTAAAATAATATTGTGTGTACTTTATGTAAACACGATAGAAGTTTTATCTTTGGCATCACAAAATAAGAATAACTATAAATTTTTTATCCCACGTGCGTTTTACATTTGTAGAAACGATGAAGTAATAAAATTAATAATTTATGTTTAATTAAAAATTACATTTTTTTTACATGTGTAACAAATTTTAATAATGTTTATTTATACTTCGTTCAATTATTTTTGCATAATTAAAGTTAATATAGATATTATTTCACACTAAACCAAAGGCAGATTTATCGACTAACTACATTAGTGTTAATTTCATGTCGATGTGCGCGCGCATCGTAAAATTTCACTCACCATTTTTTCCTAACGTGCCAAGTTATGTGAAAAGCTGTAGTTTTTTTCTGTAGAAAGCACGCAGTAAACTACGCCAAAAACTCTGGTGAACTAACTGCTCGTTTGATGACTTTTTACATAAAAAATAACTTATAGAATAATGCCCGAAAAAGTTAAAAACGTTTTACAAGTAAGCAAATTACATAAGTGATAACGATTGTTCATAATTATGTTATTTGCCACTTCCCTCTAAGATAAAATACTTTTCATTTAGTTCTACAGTAATTACCACGCGGAAAATTCATCCCGTTGCTCGCAGTACAGACTAAAACATAGTTGTCATTAAAATGCGCCATGAATAAAATAAAAGTTAAAAAGTCAAACGACGCAAAGTGGGATAAACAGCGTAATGAATGAATATGGAGATAAGACTCTTTAACACGCAATTTAACTCGAGCGCCACATTAAGCGATTTGTATTTCAATTTATATCGTTTAATCTTTCGGCAGATTCCGACGCGATATTACCGTGTTGAATATTATGGCTATAATCTTGTTACGCAGTTTTATGTTCATATATTTAAACCTACTATTAATGCTATTAAAATTATGTTAATTTCAATCCAAACTTTAATATAACTAAAATTATTACCTTCAAAATTTATTGCTACTTTTTTTAAATGACATAAGATTTTTCGTGGACGACCAAGTTTTTATGACTTACAATTCAAGTGGCACGATATATAATAATTTCGCTATACTACTCAGACGAATCGTCCTCGTAGATTGATTATAATTTCGATATCTTCCTGGTTATTAGAAGGAGTGGAAACGACATATTGTATTGCATGTCATGTTATGTAGGTATAATGTATATTGTATTAATAGGTACATGCTTAAGTACTTGTAAGGGTGCTCGGTAACAGCTCAGTCCATTCGCCGAGTTCACCTGCCTGCGGCGCATCTCTCTAATTAACAGATAAGGATTTGCTTACTGTCTGTTGACAATATTGCCATCCTGCCTCGAGTCAACTCTTTAACTAATACCATAGTTAGTAACCCACTATATTCAGTTCACTGTATGACCGCTTTTCTCTCATTTTACAGTATACGCGTAAACCAGAGTTCAAACCCTATTCGGGTTCCAATTTAAATCCTTAGAAATGGTTCGTATTCACCCAAGTTATACTTTAAAAAGGGAAAATGAAATAAAAGAAAATTTTCACCTTGACTAAACCGCCTAAAATTTAAATTCAGTATGGACATTGTTTATATATGATGGTGTTAAACTATAAAGATAAAAAACTGCACCAACATATGGCTAAAAAATTTCGTTATACCTACTTCTGAATACATGATATACTAGACGGTGAATACAGCCAACGTGAAAACGGTTCTCAGACGGGAGGAAAACAAAAAAAAAAATCGATGGCGATGAAAATCCGTGAATCTGCTAAGTAGCAGAGTACGTATAATATCGTCAAGGATGCAGATTTATGCTATATATAACGCTGTATAAGTTATGTTTTAAGCAGTGAATACACAAACGTTAGTTTTTATTTTGTGGTTTCATATAATAACTGTCAATTGAAATAAATTTGAATGGAAAAGAGAATGAAATTTTTAATTTGTTATGAGAGAAAGCGGTAAAAGATCTGATGGTTCACGTGAAGAATAGTGAGAGAGCCTTTCGACATTCACATAATCCGATTTATATTAGTTAGATTTTCTTTGTCATTTGAGGGATTATTCGCCAGTTTCTCTCTAAGTACAGAACTATAAATACTTGTACCTTAGATGTCTTCCATGACGCAACAGTTTCCCAAAATGAGCTAGCTCATTCGTAGCAGAAGTTATTGTGTGTCTCTATCACGGTAAAAGTACGTAAACATTATATATATATTTTTTGCCAATGATATTATATACAAATACGAGGTAGATATGACACTATCGCGCAGAAACTCAGGCACTTAAATTGCGGCAATTGTTGTAATAGGTTAGTCTGCTATTTCTTTCTGCATTATGCCATTTATATCATCTGTCGGATTCACTTCTATATATCATATAATGATGGAAAGCGGAACAATGTTTAAAAGCCACGCAGGATGGGCATGAGTCATCTTTAATAAAACATCATTGGTATTTACCAGACTACGGTGCGTACTCCACAAAGGAGTCGCGCGGACGCAGGACCTTGTCGCGCAGGGACCAGCGTTCGCATCCGCCTGCACACCATCTACCACATCCGCACACGGTAAGTTTAAAAAAAATACGATAATCCTATTACATATATATTACATATCAATAATTAGTAGACTAGAATGTATCGTATTATTATGTAATACATATTATAATGGTATAATATATTGGGCAAATAAAAATTATTATTTAAAGTCGCCGTGATAGCTCAGTTTAATTACATTTACTCCAGCAACCTGAGTTCGATCCTCGGTGCCAGCACTAATGAAATTGTTAATTTTAAGTGCTGAATTATCACGTGCTCGGCGGTGAAGGAAAACATTAGGTAATTGCATACATATTTTCGAAATAAAAAAAATATTTCAAAAATATGTGAAGTCCGCTAATCCACAGTGGGGTCGCGTGGTGGACTATGCCCTGATACCCTCTTTGAGGAGGCCTTCACCCTATATATATATATTGTTTAAAAGTAACGCAGCAGTGCAGTATCTGTTATTTCACAAATGAGCAGGCTTTTCGAGGAAGTCGAGGAAGTACTACGACCTCACGTAAGCCCGGCGTATAGTAAAACTGTTATATTTTCACTTTTCGTCTGATTTCGTTAGAATTAAAATTAGTGAGTATAATGAAAATTATGATAAGAAGTGCTTATGTGCTTTTGTAAGTTATTCAGGAAATCCTCTATGTTCAAATGGAGTATCAATTGTACGCTTTGATCCTAGATTTTGAATGAAATCCTCAAATCAGACCGTGAAATACATAGGAAATGAGAGGAGGGAAAAAGGTATGAGTCACAACATTAATCGAATAGGGACAAGGAAGAAATATGTTTAAATTTTAAAATGTATTTTTGTAAGAAAACAGTACACGGTGCGGTAAAATGATGTGGTAATACTCATGATTAGAAAAAAAAAACATTTCAGATTTAAAGACAAGGAATATATTATGTATATAAGTGATTAAATTAAACGAATTTTATTTTTGTCATTGAAATTGAGCGCGTTTAAGTCTTATTCCTTAAAGTATTTTAAAAACGTTTCATTTTGTGCGCGGACAAGTAAAGTTAAAGTTAATTTCATCGGGGACACAGACCTGCGAATATAATATGTAGGTCAGTGTCAGGGGACAGTTTATCGTTCTCTACATGTAAATGCTAGTATTCCATTTATTAATCGTATGTGCTGAGAATAGAGTTGAAATTGTCATTGAGTTTCCGTGTCCCGAAACTTTTGGGTTACAAAAGTTTGCGATTGTAATTGTTTTCAAACAATGTAAGTGGTTGGTCAGGATATTGTTGAAATTTTTTCAATTGTAATATTGAAAAATAATATCAGAGATCGTATATGGATAGTGTACATGGTAAATTTATGTTTTATAAAGTGAGTCTTAATAAGCGGGAGCAAATAATGTGCGGTGTTTTGTAAGTACAGTATACAATCATATTAAATAAAATATACGAACAAAAAACGGTGAGAACGAAATACGCTTTAAGAACGTATCAACGGGTCGGTAAAACGGATGGGCTTTAGATTATTACCAAAATTAGTTAGTCAACTATTCGGAAGTGCGGTACGGTTGCAAGTGGTATCATTACGGCGTCGCATTACGAGACAAGTAAGCGGGACAAAGGCGCTAATGAGGGCGGCGCAGGGCGGGCGGCGGTGCGGCGGCGCGCGGGGTGCGGCGGCCCATGAAAGCTGTCAGCGGTTGATTTTTCTGAGTGTCGTGGGCGCCGCGCTGATCGATAAGTCACGTGGTTCACGCCACGCTCACGCCGCTCGATAGTTGGTGCCTCCGCAAATCTCCCGCCACTACTTTTATGTACACGTATGGGCTGCTTTCGACTGCTTTCGGGGCGCTCGGTAATTATTCCGCAGCGTCCTCGTTGTCTGTCGCATATCACACATTAAGACTTTGGTTTATGTTTCTTATTTTCATTACTTTTTTTATCTAGCAAATTGTAAAACACGAATTCTAACAGATGAACAAACTAGCAAGACTAAATAATGAAACGCTTGTTGCAAAATTTGTTTATGTCGATCGCCGTAGCTACGTAGCCGTAGCGTAGCATCTCTGTCTATAGCGTAGCACCATAGAATATATATGAATCTTTCTAAAAATGTAATCTTTTATTGCATTTTAATATTCAATATAACAGTAAAGTTTTATAAAAAACGAAGTTTTTAATAATTCAATAAGCATTTCGTGTTATTTACTAATAATCTTGTTTTGACGTATAATGTATGAAAGTAGTTTTGATTGAGTTTTTAAAGTTATGCCTCATGAGGGTGCACTTTGGCTTGAGACGTGACGGATGCAGTAGCTGCAACGTACAAGTGCACAGGGAGTGACGGACATCGATCGGCGGCGGGACCGAGCGCGTTGTCGCTACACGCTCCCCCGCCCCACGCCTAAACCTACACACCACCCGTCGCACTTAAGGTTATCTCGCACACAGATGGTATACGCACATTGGGCTGTACGTCTCTCCAAATAAGTGTTACGTATTAAATCGCATCCTTGATGCTTTAGAAGGATTCAAATCGATTTGGCGAATTACCTGAAAATGCTTTTACTCAGTTGCGTTTACCATTTAAGATTACATCACTAATTGCTTTAGGGTAAAAAAAATCTACAAAGTGTTAAGGAACCACTGTAAAGGAAATATGCATCATTATTAAAACGTTTTCCTTTAGTATATAATGCCCAGTTTGTATTGTAAATTTAAAAGTACATAATCATCTATGGGTTGTCTGTAATAAAAATATCCGATCATACCGAAAATCAATTAAGTCTTTAAAAAATTGTTAAATGACTTCGGAGTCCACTTACGATGATTCTTGATTCATATTTCTTACTTGCGCCTTGATATAAATAAAGCAATGGTTATTTTTAATTTATAACAACAATGGTATTTGCGAAAAAAATTTTCAAATGCAATTTTCTGCGACATATACATATCATACATGAAAACAATAGATCCCTGATGGCTATAGGTATTGTGCTAGTTACTCGACAGTGGGAGCTTTGTGGTGGCGATGTGGAATTACCATTTGAACTTATGGCATCATATCATCAGGGCCATTATTGGTGTTTCCATTTTCTACGTTCAGATTATTGTTACGTATTCCCGGGCTATGACAGTTGACATATCGTGTTATGTCTCGTGAACAAGGCTTCAGTTCTCTTCAATTTGAAAGATGTGAGAGTTTGAAACATCAAAACATTAAATACTACAACAGCAGTTCACAAATAATCATGCAACAACTACTCAACAACAGCAACTCGGTTAACAAATAATCATGATCGGTATCGTCTCAGATCATATAGGAGTTCATAGAAACTTTCCAAACTACATAACATTATAAATATTACAGCACATAATTATAAATGTCGAATATTTTTAAATAGTTGAACAAAAGATGTACATACGTTTTGTGATATCAGTTCTTAGTTTAAAAAAAAGTACCTGGAGGACCTATTGTTTTTTTTTTTTTTTGGTAAATCGTGTATTTTGAAAATTACATTTAGATACAAATTACTAAGTAATGAAATATGCATAATATGTTTCGATCTTACCGACGTATTATTAAGAAGATATGAACTGGTGTTTTTCACAAAAGAAAGAACTTTAAAAAAAAAGGGAAAAAAATAACAAAATAACAAATCGACAAAAAGATAAGTGTGTTAATGATCGTGATACGAACCACGGCCTTCTGTTTCGTGGCTGTTTGTTAGCGGCCGCCCGATTACCGACCGAGCTATTATAACATTTTTTTATTTCGGTGAAATTTACCGTCGTATTCGAATAATATTTTTCATTCCCTGAAAACTGGAATAAAACGACATTTTCTAAAAATGAAACCTGGTCAGATCGATTTTTTGCCCCCGAATCTACGCACATACTAAATTTCATGAAAATCGCCGTATCCGAGATTCGTTATTCGTTATTCATTAAATATATATATATATATATAATATATATATATATACAAGAATTGTTCGTTTAAAGGATCTCAGGAGGAATCTGTGTATAAAATCCATTTGAGTAAAAGAAATTTTACACAATTATTCTTTTAAAGCAAATGTTGGTTTAAAAAGGTTTATGTAATCTGGTTTAAATTTTCCGCTTAAAACATATTTCCGCCGTAAAATTGTTCTATAAGCGAATTTTATTTTGCCACTCTTGGAATTGGATGTGGATTGCTTTTAAGCTATGATTTGATTTCCTCTAATTCAATTTGTTCTTAAATTTAAAAACCTGAATTAGTTTAAGTAAATAATGTGGAAATTAAAATATGTATAACTAGCTGCTACCCGCGAGTACGTCTGCGTAGAATAGGCTGAAGGCGTAACAATCAGACGGAAAGACAGATATACATAAAATATGTGTATTAATTATAGCCTATGTCTTATTCTGATGTATAAGCTATTTTATGGTAAAGTTTCATTAAAATCCATTCAGTAGTATTAGCGTGGAAGATTACAAACATCCATCCATACATACATACAAACTTTCGTCTTTATAATATTAACTTTCTTCTTGAATTAAAATATTTAAAAAAGCAAGTTAAACAAAAAATTATGTTAAATTTTCTATAATTGTAGCAAATGATTAAAGATCGGCATAACAATTTTTGACTGTGTTGTTGAATTGGATATAAGCTAATGTACGTTTAATTTACTTGTAGTGTTTCCATTACAGTGTACATTAACTAGAAATATTGCCATTTCGTTAATTATAATTCACTTCGCGTTTATTATCGATATGAAGCAAACGTAGAAGTTTTCATCAGGTGGAGACCGTTACATAAACTTAGTAATTAACGAGGTTGTGTACAAATGGTCACATATTCTTGTTATGGTATAATAACGCAAATTTGTGGTATTTGTTATATACATTTATTTTTTTTTTAAATTTCTGGTTAAAAATTAAAGTCTATTTATTTATTTTCGTGTCTAACTAAAAAAATATGTTTAAAAAGTTAAAAAAAAACGTGTAAATATCGGAATGTGTACAGCTGAATTAAACATATACTTGTATCCTGATTATATTAAATTATTATCTATAAAATAGTGTTTGAGGAAAAAGTTACCAAACTTAAAATTCAACAAAGAATCCTAAATTAAAATTTTAAATCTTTGCAAGGCCATACTTAAATCGATATCATGACTTTTTGACAGAGTATTAGTTCATGACATAGTACCTATATGTTACATAAGCTTATGATTAAAAATTGCCCGAGATTAGTTTTAAATATAATTTAAAATGGATAGTAACCTATTAGTTTTAGGTATATTTTTAATTGCGCCTGTATTTAATGTGTAATGTAATATATGCCCCGTGGTTCCGGCTTAAGAATAGGACCAACCTGTCTCTTCCAATGGGTGCCGTAAAAGGCGACTAAGGGATTAAAGTTATTGTGATGCGCGCAACAACCATACCCCGGAAGACCTAGTCTACTCACCAGATGGATAGGGGGCTCGTCACGTGTTGGTGGACAAGTATAGTGTGGATCCCTCCCGCATAGAGCATGAAGTCTGATTCGGTGAGAAAGGCGACCCACCGTAGATATGCAATGGGCTTGGTGGACTCAGCAAGGCAAGGTGGATGGCCAAGGGCGACGTTAGAGGATTCATAGTAACGTCGGCCAGACACATCATCTAACCTCTCCTTCAGTCGTAGCAGTTCCACTGAATCAAGGAGTCGAGGGACGAGTGCGTGCGCCTGCGTGTGCGCGAACGCTTGCGCACCTTAATATATCCTGCGTATTTGACCGCTTCCGTACAATGGACTCCGATGACGTAAAGTTCCGTAGCGATCGGAGGAAGTAGAGAGGTCTGGCTTGATGCAGGTTGGGCTTTGACTCCTGCATGCGGGCGGTCACGAGGGTGTGAACATGCCGTGGTCGCTTTCGCACTGCAAATGGGGGCGACAGTGTGGATTCGGTAGCACCTGGGATGACAAAGCAGCCCTGTTTAGGGAGGCACTGCTTTCCTCATTCAGCCGGAGAAGGGGCTAGAAAAGGTGCTCTAAAAAAATGCTCGTCCCTATTTGAAAGGTGGTAGTAACCACGGCTACCATCGCATCACCCTAATTCGTGGTCGACGTAACTTAAACAATAAAAACGTCATGAAAACATCTGTCATGACATGTGGCGCATGGAACGTGAGATCGCTAATTGATCGAGATGGCAACGCCTGCACTGAACGTAAAACCGCCATAGTAGCCCGTGAACTTTATCGGTATGATATGGATGTGGCTGCGCTCAGCGAAACCCATCTCGCTGATGAAGGAGAGCTGGTGGATATGCTCCGACGCTGGACAAGTCTGATGATATCAAGGACAAATTCTATGATGAATCATCTCAATGCCTTGACAGCAAAAGTTCCAGAGAGCAGTTTCTGTGCTAGGAGATTTCAATGCCAGAGTTGGTCGGGACTATGAGGCTTAGCCTGGAGTTTTGGGTAGACACGGAGTTGGCAAAATGAATAGTAATGGTCAGCTACTACTCAGTCTTTGTGCTCAATACGAACTTGCAATAACGAACACAATGTTACGACTTTCAGCCAAGCACAAAACTACGTGGATGTTTCCAAGATCCACTGGCGCTTGATCGACTATGCTGTCGTACGGCAAAGAGGTATCAGTCAAGTCCAAATCGTCATGCTTGGCGCACACTGCTGGACTGATCACCGACTTATTGTCACTAAACTGCGACTGCGCCTCGGTAGAGTTTAGGGAGATTTATGCTGAAGCCTTATCTGGAAAGCTCTCGGAAGTTAGTCAAATTGGTGATGTCAGCTCTGCTTGGGGTGCGTCGTCTTCTCATCTCATGGAGACTGCCTCAGTTACTTTAGGTGTAAAACACCGATGTAATGAAGACTGGTTCGATGAGAATGACGAAACTCTCAGATCGGACAGCATACTAGACGAGGAGGAAGCGTTGCGGTGCTCAAAGAGGTGCACATTCGATTACGTAAGCTGTCTAGAAAATTTAAAGATAAGTTGGTGGCAAGACAAAGCCTGTAATATCCAATGGCTTGCTGACACAAACCAGCTTGGGGAGTTTTACAGCGAGTTACGTAAATGATTAACATATCCTACCGAGCTAAAGTGCCCTTGAGGTCTTCAGACGGAACGCACTTACTTACGAGCAAGGAGGATGTACTAAAGCGTTGGGCCTTTTAATATATTTATTGATTAGTGGATCTTCAAAATATCAGTTTGATGCCTCCACTTCCCCTAGCCACAGGGCTGGGCCAACCTCTGTCGCGTGACGAGGTTGTCATTGCCATCAGACAGCAACAAAACCAACGGGCGGCTGGCATTGACCTTATACCAGGTGAGTTGCTTAAGTACGGTGGTGAGGAGTTACACACTTTGGTGTGGGAACTATTTGTTCGCATGTGGGAGGAGGAACGAGTCCCGAATGATTTCAAAGTGTCACGCATAATTGCTATTTATAAGAACAAGGGTGATCGCTCCGACTGCAACTCCCACCGCGGTATTTCGCTTCTCACTGCCCCCGGAAACGTCTTTGCAAGAGTCCTTTTAAACCGCCGCAAGCTTTGGTCGGAAAAGATTCTGCCTGAAACCCAGTTTGGCTTCCGGCCTAACCGAGGCATCTGTGAAGCTATCTTCTCTGTGCGCCAACTCCAAGAAAAAAGTAGAGAGCAGGGACGTCAGCTTTATCGCTGCTTTGTGGAATTAGAGAAAGCTTTCGACAGTGTGCCTCGATAAGCTCTCTGGAAGGTGCTAGGAAGGCTGGGGTTTACGGGAAAGTTTGTGAGGCTTCTGAGACTTTTGCATGACAATATGAAATGCTGTGTCTCCGTAGACGGTGAACAGACAGATTTTTTCCCCGTTACCTGTGGAGTGAAACAAGGGTGTGTTTTAGCACCCACACTGTTTGCCCTTTATTTTGCAGTTGTTGTCTGAGAGGTCTTACAAACGTTTTCCGAAGGAGTTCGCATCCGATTCCGAACAGATGGCAGTCTTTTCAACTTGGCCAGAGTTAAGGCGCGCACCAGTCTCGTATGCATTAATTATGGAGATTATGTATGCTGATGACTTGTGCTTTTTAGCAGAATCCCTACAAGGTCTACAAAAGCTGATGTGTGTCTTCCACCGAGCATGCTGTCAGTTTGGTCTGAAGATTAGTGTCAAAAAGACGGAGGTGATGTCCTTGGACACACATCGTCGCGAGACACTAACCATCAAGCTCGGTGACGATTTGTTGAATCAGGTCGATAAGTTTCGATATCTGGGTAGCACTATTAAATCTAACTGTGACCTTGACGCTGAAATCAACAGCAGGATCAGTGCTGCAGCAGCCGCATTTGGTAAGCTGCGTTCTCAAGTCTTCTGCTCGCACGACCTTACGCTGGCCACAAAAATCTCAGTTTACATGGCGACTATGCTGCCAAGTCTCTTATATTCCTCCGAGACATGGTGTGTGTATTGCCACCACATTCGTACTCTGGATCGGTTCCACCTTAAATGCCTTCGTATCATCATGAAGATGGTCCAACAGAGTCCGTAATACTGAAGTTTTGCGATGAGCCAATATCGGTGGCATTGAAGCCTATTTAATGCGTCGGCAGCTTCGATGGTGCGGTCATGTGTCGCGTATGTCGGAGGAACGAGTAGCGAAACGCATCTTTTACTCTGAACTGGAGGAGGGGAAGCGGAAACATGGCGGTCAACTCCTCAGATACAAAGATGTTCAGAAACGACATATGAAGAGATGCAACATAGAGCACTCAAATTGGGAGGTTTTGGTAACGCAGCATCCGGAGTGGCGTGGAATTGTGAAGAGGCGTATCCACGAGTTTGAAGATCAGCGTAAGGCTGACCTCGATGCTAAGCGCGATAACCTAAAGGCCCGTCCAGCAGCCACCTTTAGCTATAACTATGTTCGTACTCACGTGCCCTTTCCAGTCAGATAATAGCTACCGATCGAGCCGAGGTTCGGCCCTCTCGGGCACCCTCGAATCGGAATGCTAAACGCGTGCTGAGTGACAGCCCAAGCCGAGGTCCCCTCTCGGGGATCCTTGAGCCTGATCACTCCATGGAGCGCCCGCCAAAGCGCCCTAAGAGCTTGGCTATTCCAGCCAAAAAAAAAAAAAAAAAAAAACTCACGTGCCCTCACGGTGCAAGAGAGTTTGTCGCTAAGATTGGCTATATTAGCCATTTTCGGGCGCATCGGCGCCAAATCAAAGGTTGAAGAGGTCGCCATGGCCGAAATCGGTTAGAATAATCATTAATGTAATCTTTAGAAAATATGATATTACATTGTACATACTTAACGTTAATGAACTAGTGTTAAATAGTAAATACAAGGAGATTCCGGGAAGGAAAACATATGCAGGCAAATTTCCTGTTTTCAAATAGTCAATTATTTAAGGAAATTTAGAAATGAAAGTTTTGACAATATATCTATCAAACTCACATTAAAGTTCCATCTTGATTTTTTATTTTGTATTCTATAGAATGGGATACAAAATAAAAAATAATTTTTAAGAAAAATTTTAATTCAAATGATTAAACGGATAAACGTAACTGTTTTTATATCAAATTTATTATATAATACATGTATTACAATTAAGAGAAAACTTTTCATTATTTGTTTTATGTGACGATATTGTCTGAATATATTTTCAGTCCTCTTCGGAATGTGGGGTGACTGGTCGCCGTTCGGGCTACTGCGAGACGCAAATGTGGCCACATTATCAGGTAACGTTTGAAATTTAATCCCATAGTTAACATTTTATTACCTAATTAATAGACGATAGAATCGTTATGGATTAAAAGACGGTCACGGTAAGTATCGAAATCAGGTTTCGTATTATAATGTATATTTTATTTCGATATATTTTCGGTATGAATCGAAATCAAGTTTCGTACTTTATTTCGATTTGTCAATAAAATTTTTGCTTTTTTGAATAATTACTTCAATTAATTCAATTTTATTTAATGTGCCACAAAATCCACAGCCCTTAGTTTTTATACGTTTATATCGCATATGCTTAACTAACAGCCAAAAAAGGATTTACATTTTACATTTTATAGTTAAAATATATATAATAATTGAGCAGTAATAAAATATTGTCACTCTATGAGATCACCGATATCTATATACATATTTTACCTTCATTTGGCTGACCTTTTTGCTTGTAGTCCGTAACCTATTAAAGCTTCACCAACGCAGAGCTCAATCGACGTTAGGCCGAACAGCGTGCGTCAATTAATGGATGCGATATATACATAGGTATAAGGCGATACTTGTACGTATCGATTCCGTCCAATATGCGATATTTTGCAGTAAAATTTGTAAAATGTATAATGGTTACAGTCCAGGGACTTGTCGCTTTGTAGATGGGAGTCTTGGCTGGGGGCGGTTGGAGTGCGACCAATGCCGCAGGCAGTATGTGGGCTTCCAGAGGTATGTGCTCCCGCGAACAAGTGCGGTACATGCCCTCCGACTGTCGTATGATTAAGGTAACTAAGTACTACATAAAATGTGAATTTTATTTCAGAAAATGGTCGAAAAATTTTCGTCGCTGCGGGATTCGAACCTGTGCCCAGACGCTCTATCCACTAAGCTAAGCGGCCAATTACCTCGCCGTGCCGTTCAAATCGCGCAGTGCAGAAAGATTTTCGACAAGTTTTCTATAAAAATAGATTTATTTATTAAATTACTGACATCACTACATCCAACTGACAAAATTCCTTTTTGATTTCTTGCATTGCCACTATGAAGAAGTATATGGAGTAGCAATAAAAGTTGTAGATGCGAGGTCTTATAAAATACTAATCACAAATTATAAGCTACGTTTAGTAACTATACTGCAGTTCATTAGAACTTAGAAGTCCTTTGTTGGTGGGTTGACAATAAATAGTTAATGTTTGGATTTCCAGAGTTCACAAATCAGCCATCCGAACCAACTTTGTGCTCCTGACGGGAGGTCCACACCGTTTCCTGTATACGAAAATGGGTCTTACGCCAGCGACAACGGAAAGCATAGTTGCGCGGTAGAGGTTACTGCTAAGAGCGTCACTCAGTCGGAAATAGCACGACCGGTACGCGAACGAATCTTTAGTGAGCCTCAACGGGGTCCATCTGAGGAGAAAAGACCGCCGGTAGTACCACTGCCAGCGTTTCAACAAGCTTTCGGCTCGACTGAAATCGGGAAATTTGCCGAGGCGTTCAGTCGCGCCGAAGTGGCTCACGAGGCTGAGGACATTTCCAATGACAATTTCACGTTTGAATCCTTCCAAGACTGGGAAGGGGCAGCTGAATGGTCGTCGCCTCCCGCCAATCGAGAGATAAAATGCGAAGAGAACTATTGAAATAGCTCATCTTCGATGAGACAACCAGGCAGATAGCCTGCTAGCTGAAATTAGACAATTTGTAGTTCCACCACCATGTTGCCAAAACGAGTAGTTCGACATCTACGATAACGTTAGTTGTCGTAGAACTAGGATGTGATATCAAATTTTTTATGTGTACGAGTATAGATCATTGGATAAATAGTGGTGTGACATTAAATTCATATACATAATATTATAGTATATATTATAGAATAATAGTTATTCATTTTAACTAGTTATAGAATATAACCCTAAAAAGGGGAAACCACTGTTATGTGGGAGCTGGGAAATAGTAGGTAGGTACCGCAAAGGAATAGAAAAACAAATGAATCAAGATTCAATGTGCCTTTATTCGGAAAGCCCGGCCGCTGACGCGCGGCGTCCCCCGCCCGCCCCATGTCTCTATTGTGGATATGATATCAAATAATTACAATAGCAATTATAGGGACCAACGTTTAGACAAATATACACGACCCTGTCGCGTAAACAATCTATGCGCAATAATGTCAACGAAAACAAATGTTATCAGGGAGTATAACGAAATTTATAAGTAAAGAAAATGTAGCTAACTTACAATTTAATAGGGAACTTATGCCTGTATTAGAATATATTCGAAAATATAAACAAATAATAAAATCAGGTTTTTTAATAGGAAATGAAACTAACTATTAGATGTCTAACTATTGAACAGAATCGATAATTTTGCATTAATATTAATTACACAATTTATATATGATCATCGTTATTGTAAAATATAAAATGTAAAAAGTAATGAAATTATGCGACATTACTTTCCTTTTTTTATTTTAAAAATGGGCTATTTATATATATATCAATCTTGAAAATGGGATATTAAAAACTATACTTCAATTTAATGAAAATGGATGTGTATTTATGTCCCTTACTCGTGACACATCTTCAATGAGTTTTAAAACTATATCGGTAAACAAAAAAATATATATCTAAACTCAGAAATTCTGTTACACTTCTATACCTAATTCACCTTTACGGGGGGCTCCTAAAGACGTCGCGCGAAATTAATTAAATCTTCCAGAATATTCAAAATAAATGTAAAATCAAGTATAAATATATTTAGGTAGCTAAATTTCATACATTTTAAACAGGTTACTTATGAATATAATGGCTTTTTAATTAATAATTAGGGGCCAACAATACTTATATAAAATTTCATTTTCTTTATGGACATGAAGGTTCCAATAGTTGAAACAAATTATTAATAATAAGTTTTTCCTAAACCCTTTTAATGTAGAATAAAGTTATTCATTTTAAATCGAAATTGCAAGAAAAATTTAACACGTTATCAAATTGAATTACCACTTTGTTTGTTTTTTTACATGTAATTAAGCAATTAATCATTTAAGCTCTTCTATTTATGGATATTTCTTTTAATAAAATTTACTTCTGTACTTTGTTAATTACATTTCTGCAATTGTATTTACTTCTGTAATTTATTAATGCAGAACGATTTTTGAATTTGATTTGTATTGAGTTGGATATTAATTTTAGCGATTTTCAAGTTTTTGACATTTGTTTACACTTTTATTCAGCCCGCATCAAGTATTGACTGTATAATGTATTCTCTAGGGTATTCGATTCTATAGAACTAAATTGTATTTAAACTTCCAATCGTCTTCATTTTTGTAGAAAAAATCCCTAATTGATAGAATGTAAATGCAACCTTGCAAACCTATTTGGACAAAACAGCAAAATTAAAGGAGTGCCTTATGTAATTATTATGAAATGAAATTAGGTGGATGAATTTTAGCATAATTTGATGAAACACCATATAGATAATAGCATGGTTTAACTTTCTTTTGAACGGAATAATTGAATAATAAGTAGATAAGATAATGTACTTAACTTTTACAATAACTTGATATAAATTTAATGAAATTAGAGTGCACTAAGATCTCATCCAATCATTAGATAATAATTAATAGTTATTTGTTATGCATACATGATAAAAGTTTGATTTGAGTGAATATTTATAGAGGTTTATGTATTAAGATTATCAATAAATTATCATTGGTTTGGGTGGTTTGTTTGATAAGAATGAGTATTGATATGTTGCAGGATTTAAAAGTAACTAGAGAAAGATTAGTCAAGTTCCAAGTTTAGTAAAAATTTTACAAGTAATATTAATAGTAAAACTTAGAAATTTGTAATCACATACACATCTTCCAAATTTATAGGTAAATAAATTATATCTTACTTTGACTTTATATATATTATTTTCGTATATTTAAGGATCGTTCGTTGAAATACAGGCTGAATTGTATTTTTACTTTGCAAAACAGAACAAAGCCATGTTTGTTTAATGTCAGTGATTAAATAAACATACAGGTTGATTTATAGACGACGGACATATAAACTGAGAATATGCAGAATTTTATTCTAAATCTGAATACTTGTGACCTAATTATTTTTCAAGGATTACTTTTAATTTTTGCAAACATTCTGGTCACCCTATTAAAAATTCCTGCCTTACCGTCTTAATACTATACCAACCTAGCCGCGCATCTCACTGTGCCGTTATTGTACGCTGTTTAATTTCTTGCTATCGCATCTGTGTCAATGTGAGTCAATGTCTGAAATTATCTCGTCTCAGTGGCCTTTCTTTAGTTAAATTTCATGTGTATACCTACAGACTGCAGACTGTAGGCTGACCAATCTTAACGGGATAATCAAACAATATTTGAATTGATATTTTTCTTGTTATTTCTTGTTAAAATAAAATATTAATATTCTTTGAAGTAAAACTTCTTTAGGCGCGACTAGGGAGTAACTCAGATTATTTCTGACGGAAGTAACGCTTTTTCTGACGGAAGTAACGTCATAAGTATATGTCATATTTTTAAAATATGACATACTTATGACGTTACTAAATATTTAATCATTTCAGTGATATATGCCGTCAACGCCAAAGAAGTTCAATCGCGCGTAAAGGTTACACGCACACACTTTTTTATTTTAATTATGGAATGCTCAATTAACATTATGTCAAAGTATTTACTTCGTCTAAAACTCAACCTGTATAACATGACATTTTTGATTAAATTTCAGCTTGATAACGTAGTTCCTTAAATGCCTGTTTAGCTAAAGTGGTCAGTGGTCTTAAGCGATTAAGCGATGTTAAATCTGTCTAAAACTGCTAAGACTTTCGATTTTCCAAATCAGATGATGGCACTTTTTTATTTTTATGTCTATTTGCCAACATTTACTATTTACTGGTTTCGCTAAGACTTATTCGTAACAAAAAAGTAGTTTGTGCCACGTTATATTATGTATATGTAATATACATCACCTTAGATAGAGCTATTGTTATTTGTTTTTTTTAGTATTAGGCTATTTTTTTTAGAAATGTGTGTACAGAAATTGTAATTTAAATTTATGTACTATCTAAGTGTTTCACATTATTATAGAGCTTCCCGTTTGATTACCCTTTTTAAAATATCGTCTACCATCTATGTGAGTTGTGTTCGTTTCTTCTTCTACTCCATTTTTGTAGTGTTATACTTCTAGTATTAAATACTAAAATATAAAATCGATAAATGTGTTTTATCTTTTGGCGTCATTTTAAAAATTGTCACAGTACAAAATGAGCACATAAAGAAATATTTTCGTATTAGATAATCGATTGTACTTATGGTATTTGATTGTTTAAAAAAATTTCAGTGATAATGTCTGTTGCGGTGATAATTTGTTGTTTATTTAACAAGAATACTAAAATCCAAAAATATGACCATTCCTATTTATATTTATTATTAAAAATGTAAATAATACTAATTTATGTTTTGAATGTTTCACTCATATAAACGTAGAGAAACTGTTTTAATAGAAAATGGTAAGAGTTTTGAATTAAAAACACCTGGAACATTTGATTTATGAGAGTCAATGTGCGGATTAAAATAAACACCTTTTACTTATGAATTGTTTCTTTTTTCTGTTGACGAAAGACATTGGTACTCCCACAAATATCCAATAAAATTTCGAAGTTTATGTTAAATACAGAACAGGACATTAGTTCTCTGAGTTGGAGCTTTGTTGAGTTTTTGCAAAAAAAATTAAACTGGTAAAGAATAGATGACATTTGAATTAGATCAAGATAGAAAGTTTTATACATGTCTCATTTTTTAAACAGGAATAGCGTGATAAGGTTAATATAGGGAATATAGAAGGGAACTGTTGTTTCGGGATAAAATAAGAGTCCACTGATACATTTAATATTTATTCATAAGCAATAAAAAGTAATTACCACATTGTGTCACATAATTTAACAACTTAACATGTCAGAAGCCAATAGATATATGAAGAGGTACATATAATTCATTAATTCATAAATCAAACGAGTGTTACCGGAAGCCACTTTAGACGGCTACTGGAAATATTTTCAAAGACAATATCACTATGAACAAAATACTTTACTGAATATTGAAATGCAAACATTCCGAAATACACGCATATTTACACGTAAAGGCACTTTAAATGTAGGCATTTGAAAAAAAAAAACTTTTACACGTAAACAAGATGTTTTGTTCAGTAAAAGGGATAAAAATAAATTTGACTTTTTATGCAATAAGCTAAAAGGTGTTATGAATAACATAAAATTGCCTTTAAAAGACACGTCCCTTTATAACGACCTCATATCAAATATTCATTAAAGTATTTTGTCATGTTGCTAAAAGGCTTGCAGAAGTGATTAAATCTTTGCATTTGCTTGTCTGCATACGCGAAGGAATATCAATTTACATAAATAAACAAATTGCAAACTATTGGGAACAAATCATAAAAGTATAATACTTATTATAACATTAGTTACCTTCGTATTTTACTTCAATAAGTCTTTCTAAATATTCATTCATTTTTCTACATTACATTTCAAGTGTCATTGAAGTATGAAATACAATCGCAATTAATGATCCTATTCTTCATTTTAGTTTTCACTCATATTTGTTTAATCGTTTCATTAATTATATTTTCTTAGTATAACAATATCTATAAATTGATTGTATAAGTTCGTAATTATTAAATTCGAATATTTTAACATATGTATATTAATAAACAGGTTTTATTTCAATAAATCACAAAAACAATCTTTAAAATAATACATAATATTCGAAATATAAATGCAATATTTGTGGCCTCAATAATAAATAATTACAATATCTACACATTGTTCATATATAAGTTTGATAATTTTTAAGACATACTGTAAATAATTAAAACTAACGAGCCATGCTTGAAAATCATGAAAAAAAATCTGTGAAATATGTAGAAGTCATCGGTGATATGTTGAATCACAATCATTCTTATTTGTTGGAAATAGATAAAATTTCGCATTTTATTAAATAAAGTTGAATTAAATCATATCCTTTTAAATTTACTGTAGAAATGCTTTTGCTACTGAGCAGCTATGAAGTTTCACGACGTGAATTTATTTCTTGGTGAAACTTTGGTTCTGCAAAAGAATAGATTTAAAAAAATATAATCTACATCTTCATAACACGAAGAAAAATTTTGTTATTCAATCAATTATAAATATATGTTATAAGAAATAGGCAGAAGGAAGTTGGCTTTAGCATTCTGTGGTCGCCAACCCATGGTTTGGGGCTACTATCATTGATTTCCTTGATGCGTTTTCATATATTTACGACAACGCCTGATGTCAACCCTCCTAGGCAGTCCAAATATCCGAAGTATGCGAATCAGTAATATTAAATTCAAATGGTTTCTGAATATAAAAGTTTGGTGGTAAATAAGTAGTGAGATAAAATTTTAATTAATATTGAATTAAGTATTCCACAGATTTCTTTTTACATTTTCGAACATCGGTACGAATTTATTTCTATAATAAATAAACAATAGTTGTAAATATCTTCCAGTGACGTACGTATTAAACACAATCTTGAATACATGTTATATCATTCGCCTAACCTATGATAGAACTTTCGAATTTGATCACGAAGAGAAATAATTATCAAAACTACCTAGTGTACTTCCGTAAGGTAAGTGCATTTTGAACTATTAGGGTAGTGATTTTGCGTTGCCAATGTGAAATGAAACGCACGTTCATAATAGCTAACTACTCTGATGATATATTTATTTATGTATAATGGTAACAGTGAATATTCAACAAGCACAGGTATTAAGGATACCTAATTTGGCACAGGAGTCCATAGAGAAATGTAATGAGAGACGATTTTTTCATATTTATACGTAGTATGTATATCCAATATATCTTAACGACTACACACAAAAATAACAAAATAATACTAGGTTCTGACCGCCATAATAATAAAACTCGTGGATATAATGCGATTACATTATTAATTAAACTTGTGTTATTGTATGGTGCGAGACCTGTGATTAACAATATATTTCCCAATACACAAGTAAGAAAAAAAATAAAAAATTGAAATGCATAGGGTGTTATAAAACCTAAATAAAAACAAAAGTACAAAACTAATTGTTTCAATTACGAACTATCTCCGAAGTAACTTATGTAATGTAAACATCGTTACATTTTTGATTTTCTATTGATATTGTCATTATTTGTAATTATAAGACCGACTTACATAAGAAGATTGTAGATCTAATATAAATAAAACTTAGTGTCTATGACAATTACTCAAATATGTGATTGATAGCATTATGTTATAGCACAATTGAAACTATGTTGTAAATATTATGCAATGTCTTATTTTTTATTTGTTTTACATTCGTGTGAGAACCGCTTTCGACTTCCGCTTTCTTATTGAATATCATTGTTTATGATATTACTATCCTTCGAATCAAATAACATAGTAACAAAACACAGTTGAGTATAATAATGTATGTCATTGAATAGTATGGAGTCTTTATTGATTTGGTAAAATGTATGTATATCAAAGTGGATATAAAAATAACTTTTGAGCTTCGTTTTATGGGATTGAAAAAATGTAATTAAGTCATGTTACAATAATTACTAATTGGGTTTTGATAAGGTATTAAAGGTGCATAAATATTTCAACACAACTATGAACCTAATTCTTCTTAAAGGACGATAACCATTTTTGTTTCGTGCCCTGGATGTTTATCATTTAAGGAACTTAGGATCTATATTTGGAATTTATTTATTTTAATTACGTTTAAAGCTACTAAGTTTTGTAATCTCATACTTTTATTACAATGTGTATAAGTTAATATGCGTGTGAGAAAATTTTTTAGCATCTATGAACAAATATGAACTGAACAGTGTAAATGAAAAAAAAAGTGACACTATCTTTAAGCAAATAAAATATTTATTTTTATTCCATAATACTTATAATCATAAATTGTAGCTTTAACTAATGCTAAACCATTCCCAAAAAGCAAGTTTCAATTTATAGGGCCAATAAATATGAATTTTACGGACATGTTTAGAGCAGAAATGGTCATGGTCATCATCCTTTTCTCAACCTTTTTTTCTGACAAAAAAACTTTAAAACAGAAAAGCACAAAAGCAGAAAAGAATACGATACTGGTAAAAAATATCGACGTAGATGATAAATATGAAAATAGACCAGGTCAGTGTATTTCAACAAATATGCGACTGTACGCTACGCATTTTGTAAAGCTAACTGCGTACTAAACAATTCCTTTATTATAGTCAATACTTGACGTCAAAGAAAATCTTCAGTCGATTTTGAAATTAAAAACGGCCCGAGTCAAAATTTTTGACCAATTTTTTCTGTCTCAAGCTTCTTTCAGATTTTTTTCCCAGCCCAGACATTGTATTAATCAAAAAAAAAAAAAAAACAAATGGAACTTTTTAAGAAGCCGACAAATTTGAACGGCGTGGTGGGAGTTCGGAAAGTTATCGATAACAATTTTCCGGTACTTAGAATATCTTTTTGATGTCTCGCAAAGAGCTGGGGGGACAGCGCTGGTTGTGGCGCGTTGGGCTCACTTTCGAGGCACATCAGAGTCGGGGGTATCGGGTGGGGTAGGTTAGTGGCGGTGGTCCGGGGCGAGCGACTTGCGGCTGGCCGAGAGGTGTTGGGCGCGCGGTGCGGGGCGCTGGGATCGCGGCAGAGTGGTGGGCGCGGACGGTCCCGCAGGGGAGCCAGCGCCCGCGCCCCCCTCCGTCATCATGTCGCGTGGTTTCCACACGGGCGATCCTACAACACACCAAACACCGAACTCTTTCACAATCAACTTTTTACGTCAGCTTTCACGTTCGTCGTAGCTTTTTTTTGGATTTAATTTTAGGAATCACGCGCAACAATCATTGCAACGTCGCCCAGGTTGTCGCGTAAAAAAGAGTTGAATGTTTGATGAATGTTGTCGTAGGTTCGGCACCACCCGTTTGAAAACTTACGACTCACGCGCGGTTAAGTTTCGTCGTGTGAATAAAGATAACTGGCAACTGTATGGCGGAATAATGGTTGAATTTTTTTTTCCGACGCCCAACATTGTCATCGAACATTCAAATGAAATAAGAATGGGTTTCGACGTATCATTATCTTGATCCAAGCATTTATATCTTGTAATATTGCCTTAAAATCAACTACTATTACTAGGACATCATATTATTACCAATAACTAAGGTGCACCAATATTATTGATTGTTTTAATTTTTAGTCTTAGTCGATATCAGTGCATTACCTACTGAGTATTTGACACATAAATATCGTGCAAGGCTAAGAAAGCACTATGTGAGTAGTAAGAGTATATTATTTGTCTACGATGAACTGTTTAAGCTTATTATGAAAAGATTGTTTAATTTTATGAGGGACAGACTATTTTAATATTATTTTAAATATTATATAGTATGACTTGCTACATTTGAATTTATGGTATACCTTCTATAAGCGGTTAGGCGTCTATTTTGGAAACTAGCTAAAAGTATATGTATTTATTATAACAAGTATTAGTAGACTGATATAGCCATAATCATTTATGAGGTTAAGATTTCGTTATTGAATAATATTATGTAGTCAAATCGCATGAAGAAATAGTTGTCAAAACTCAATAATATTTTTATATGTATTAATAAAAATAACATGCACTGAAGTGGAAATACATGTTAACTTAATTCTAGCTTAAGCAATAATTGAAAAAAGGATACAAAAATAAAGAAAAATATATAGTCTCAATAAATATAGGTACTTCGAAATGGAAGACTTAATTAATGGTACAAATCCATGGCGGCCTACGTAAAAGTATTTTGTTAATATATTGAAAATATGCTGTGTAAGTATAATAACAGTCGAAGTTAAATTAACTAGAGAGAAAATTTGACAAGTGATTAAGGATTATCATCAGTTCATTTCCACAGCCATTACAATGTAACATTTAGCACTTGGAGTTAATGTAGAATTGTGATTAATTTTAATTATCCCTAATATTATTTATTATCCATGTCTACTTATTAACATAAGTCTCTACTTTTATTTTATAGTTTGAGTATAGATTCCTTATTGGTGTATATAGATGAGTCTGAAAACATTTTGGAAAGGTACTATTTTACGTATACGTAATTTGAACGCTCGTTTGTCAACTAGTCTTTTTATTTCAGATGGAACTATCTAACATTATCATGATGTTTTTGTATCGAGTCGAGATGTTATTGCCATTGTATTGATTATTAAATGTTGAAAAGACTAGATAATTACAGATTAATTTAAAATGAAACAAAAAAAAGTTTCCCTTTTGTATGAATGATTTGGAGACGTAATTAGTCGTGCAATTAGATATTTCTAATAATTTGAATTATTTATAAGTCAACTCGCCATGACGTTAGACGTGTATTTGATCAAATTCATATCTACCAGAAGAATGTTTATAGGAAGGACAAATTCCGCGTTCATGTCCCATACCGTCCAATGTTTCCACACTACTACGATCAGATGTTACTAGGATAGACTGGGTCATTAGTGATTTTCTACGGGACTTTGGGAACTTGCCCTTCCCCTTATGCTAGGATGTTTTGTTCTGCCTTTTGCTAGAAAGGTAACATTGCACGCAAGTTGGATGTTCAATGGCTTTGGCGATGGATTCTGTTGATTTTGAAACAACGATTCCCATTTTTATAGCTTTGTCTTCAACTTTTGCTAACTGAGAGTAATGCGACACTCTATCCAGGGAATTTGTACCAATTCTTGCTAGTTTGTCGCCACTTGATTTGGAAGAACGCCGGCTGACGTTAGGCGACTTGCAAGGTGATCTGTCAAAACTGGCTTGAGGTGTTCTCATTATCCCTTTCTTCGGAGCTGGTTTAGGTGATTTAGCTCTATCAATACTATTCTCGCGGGATTTCATAATGCTGCCGCGTGGAGACCTTGAGCCATCGAAACTTTGTTGGGGGGATCGACACTTGTCCATTGAATCTCTTGGAGATTTAGATTGGTCGAAGCTACCCCGTGGAGATTTTTGAAGAGTTTTAGGTTGTTTTAGGCTAGATTTATTTGGAGATTTGCAAATAATAACTTTAGTAACACGATCTCTATCAGGGGAAGGATCCTTCGATCGATTGGGAGATCTATCTCTGTTAATACTGCTGCCACTTCCTGAACGAATTACTTTTATCTTTTTATCCGATGAGTACGATGTATTTTTGCGTTCTGGTGACGACTTAAGGGAATGCGACTCCTGCTTACCTAATTCCTTTACCATAGTCGGTTGATACTGTGTTGGTTGATGAGATGACTGTATTAATCTTGCCTGACTTCCAGTACTACCGGCGCTTAAAGTTGAGGTGGTGCTGTAAAATCAAGTTGTAATATGTAAAATCACAAAACAATCATCACAGCTAATTTAATTTAAAAGTAATACATATGTATGAGTAGAAACATATAACCTACATAAATTTGGATAAGTGAATGTTAAAATAAACAAATGAAGTGAAAGTGTGAAGAGTCCGTTCCAATTCACAATTGTGTAGGTGCAGTGTATTTGTCATTAGTGATGTTAACCCATACATATGTTGATACCTTAGTGTGAGGTGGTTAGGAGTTCTGCCTAACCCTCTCTTGGCAGGTGGCTGCGGTGGTTCCTCTTCACCTTCAGATTTAGATCCGAGGTCGGATTTATCCGTGTCGGTCGGTGGTGGAGGAGGCGGGAGTGTCCTTTTGCTGCTGCTATCTGTTAGCAATAAACACGTTGGTGATTATTTTTGTGATATTGTTCAGTATTTCGGAGTCTTATATGAAAGCTTCATTGCATATCGTTTTCGGGTTTCGTATGGTGAGTAAGGTAATCACTTTTAAAAAGGGTGGCAACGCATTTGCAATCTTTCAGGTGTTGTAGATGTCCATAGACGCCAGTTATCACTAAAGATGAGGTTAACCACCAGCTTGCTTGCCACCTTCTCACATTAAATGAACCATACTAAGACACTTCCGTTACTGTAAAACTTTTACAACCATCGATTGTGGGTTGTGTCGTTATGTCAATTAATATATCAGAAAAGTAATATAACTATCTAAATACACGCATCAATATCATTGTAGTGTAGTGTTATCCCTGTATATGTTTGAAATTAATTTGAATTCTCATATATAGAGGTGGTATTGCGCAGGTTGGCAGGTTTTAGCCGTGAGTGCACTCTTTTATTTTTGTACATAACTTTAATTTTTGGTGTAATGTTGTAATTAATATGATATATGAACTGGTCTCACCGGAAGAATCATTGATTGTCTTGCTTCGTGTCCTGAAAGTAGGTTCATCTGAAGATACATCTTGTGGTGGTTCATCAGCGTCTTGAGAATTTTCTCGTGACAGGTCACCAACCTGAGTCAAACAATTTAAAAATGTGAAGTTTTTGGATTACATTGCTTACAAAAACGGTGTAGAGTATTTTAGTTTACCTCAATGTTGCCAGCAGATAAACGCTGTCCAGTCGTCTTCGGTTTTTTTGTTTTTCCTAGTGTCTGCGACCCTTGCATAACGTGGACCTTAAAACAGATTTAATGAGGTATTATAAAAAATAAATTCTATTTAATAAGAATTTTCATAACCCATAACTATGACGTGTATAAATATTGTGGTGTTATACTTCAAAATACTTAAACTGTCATTTAGTGGAAAAAGTGCGAAACACGGTTTCTTTTTAACCCGTTACTTTTTCATTACACTTAGTCCTTCCCTTGTCGGTCTTCGCATTGCTTCATATGAAATAAAAGCCCTAGCGCCCTTCTTCAATAGTTTGCGACTACCTTCTTTAATTGAATATTTGATAAACAAAATATGATATTATCTTCGTATGCGAACTGATGAAAGTACCTAATATCTAATCTCTCTGGCTATCCCACGAGCTCTCCGTTCAAAGAATTTTTAATAGACAAAGGACTGGATTCAAGAACGTCAAAGTAAAGTCAAGTAAGAGCTAGTTAAGCAGGTCTACCTGATGCTTGGAACGTTCGCGGTCGCGTTCAAGAGTGTGCGGTGCTCGTGGCGGTGTCGGCGCAGGCCGCGAGCTCGGCAGCGACATATTACGCACCGACTCGCGTATGATTTGCCTGATTGTCTTCAAGAAAGCGTTGCGGAAGTCCGCGGTGCTGCAGATAATTTTAGAAATGTAAAAGGAGAAGATTACGAAGTTGAAATAAGATGTATTCTTATTTATTTGCTTATTTACATTTTTAGCAATGCTTGGCGCCATCTAATGTGCCTCCTCTACAGTATAAACTCATTATCAAATTGCATTTTTGCAATGAAACCTTGTAAACTAGAAATGGCTAAGTAAACTAACATACTATACATGTTCCACTGCTGGGCAAATAAAATTATTTTGAGAAAAAAAATTGAGAAAGGAGAACGTTATGCAATCTATGCAGTCTGAGTTATTCGTTATAACCTATTATTAGCATCACTATACATCAGTTATATTTAGCCTGGACATTCTTAAATCATTTCGTTGGGAACTTTACCCTCAAAAGTACGGGCGATGTAAATCAATTACGATGCATATACAATATTTTACGCTTGTGAGAGACTCTGCTTACGGTACCTGTTAGAGAGCACATAGACTTTTTCAGAACGACGCTGCAGTTGGCTACGCAGGTGTATCAATTCCCAAAGGAAATGGCTGTCCATGTCCTTGGCGGAAGAAGCACGCACTTGGACTTCGGTCACCGGAATGAGAACTTGATATCTTATTATCTCCACCTCATTTGAGTTGTTTTTCGATGAAACTCCCTAAAAAATAATTTTCTTTACTGTATCTGCCTACTTCATGTTTTTGTGTATTTTGCACATAAATAAATATAAGAATATTAACCATCAACTTCTTCTTCTGCCTCAGCCTTTCCTTGCAAAGGAACACCACGGCAGATTTAAATACGAAACACATAGCGTGCAATTCCAATCCTTTCTTAATTTTCCCTAAAAAGTCCGAAATATTTAACCACTCTACGCCTCCATAGTATAGCAGGTCACCTGCAAATATAAAAAATAGAGAATAAAATGGTTGAAAGAAAATTACGAATAAGCAAGTTTAAATACGAAAAGACATACCAGGGCTAAGATCAATGGGCTGTTTGCAAGATTTTTGGTGTTGTCTAAATAAGTGATCAAATATAGCACCATATTCTTCATGAATTCGTTGCATTTCATTAATATGCTCGGCAACTTTCTCCATTCCTTTCAATGCCTCTGTGAAATTATTAAAAAAGTAAGCCAGATAAAAACATAATCATTACTGATATTCTTTGTTGTGGTGTAACTGTCCCGTGGGCTTACTCTATTAATAGTTTGTAAAAATTAAACATCTAAGCATTTAAGATACTCGTAACTATGGGCGTTGAAAAAATACTTACAAATTAAATAAAGTTTAATTAATAAGTTACTATTTGGAAAATTTTTAAATGTTTCTTGATGCATGTAATATAGTACTAATAAAAATGACTGAAATATTGTGATGGACAAGAAGTAAAAAAATGATAATCCTTTGTCCCGCTTAACGGTTACAACGGTTTATCTTACCAACTAAATGGAGGTGCTCTTCGGAATTAACATCAGTCAAATTTCTCAATTGCTGTAGCAGCAGCGGGTACTTAAGGATCCTCTGAATTGGTTTGATCAGGTACGACTCCAACGTTGAGGAGTGCTGCTGTTTTGGGTTTCGAGCAGCGAGGAACTCCTGCAGGGCCTGATTGCCTTCATCTGATTTAAGTTTTTATGTTAATAATTTATTCAGTTTTAATGAGAGTAAATTGAGTTAAGAGAAGTGGCTTACTTGGATGCAAAACTTTTTGCGCTTTGCTGTGACTAGCGCAGAACGAACTGTATAGTTTAAAGTGATTGACGTAATAAAGAAATGCGTTTCCGACGGCAAAAAGTATATTCTGTGAAATTAAACATAAAATGTCATTTTATAAAAATTCTTTTACGGTAACGGTTTTCAATATAACTTCTTAAACTTTACGTACCTTGAACTGATTCGAAAATTCGAAATGATGGAAATTCGGCTCAGCCTCCAGGGCGTCTTCGAGATTTTGCAAGAATTGCCTTTGGAAAGTTACAATCTCTTGAATGTTTCCGAACAGAGCATTTATCTCGGCGTTCGATAAAAAAGTTTCCTTCTTCAGTGGTTCCAAATAATTCTCTAATAAATTGTTAAGGTGCTGGAAGGGTAAAAAAAATAACAATTACATTGACGTCGAGTATTAATATCTCGGATCGGATTTAATTTTAAACAAACATTTTAACCCGAGTGTCAGTTGTCAGAGGGCGCAGGTGCTGGCGTTTAGCGAGTTCGAAATCCATTTAAAGTTTTCAGCTTAATGAATTTATACGGGTTGGAAGAATGATCGAATTACTCGCTCTGTGATATTGCGTATAAAACAAAAAAATATTATTGGCTGGATTGACGTAGATTTCGTATAATAAACGTAACGGATGTTATAATGTTATTGATCATAAATATGTTACTAAATAATAACATCGAATCGAATTTATATCAAGTATTGTTCAATACAACTATTTTATTGGAGTTAATTGTGCGTTTAGTTCCCCACGTTTTGAACACTACATAGGTACATACATACAGAGGTATGTAATTATCAAATAATGAGAAAAAATTAAAAAACGACTCTTTAATTGAGCATTGTACAAAGTATTTAACTTTTTACAATACTCATTTACTTACTCAGATACATAAAACTAACATTTAACTGTCAAATATATTTCTTTGTATTAAAGACCAATTAATAGGCCTGTGCCTATTGATAACATATATTGTAGATATCATCATGATAAATAAGCATATTTCAAAATATGTAACAAGCATCGTTTTAAATATTTAAAACAGCTAGTTTACCAAAATATTCGAATTAACGCTACTAGATAGGCCCCTTTTTGAAACGAAATGGCTAACCATAAGAAGTTCTCAAACATTTATATCTATCTAAATCGATAAACTTTTTGGGCGTATGCGTTGGTCGTTATTTGCAACCAAAACCAGCTGTTAAAACAAACCTTCACGTAGGCGCGCTCAGTGTCCACCAGTTCCGAGAGCACCTTCCTCAGCTTGTCCGCATCAGAGAGGTGGCGGGAGGGGGTGCCAGCGGCAGCACTGGCGAGGCTGCCGGTTGGACTGCCGCGTCGGGTGTCAGCAGGCGAACGGCACCAGCCCGTCACTTGTTCTGCACTCTTCGTTTGGAAGTGAAAGCACTAGTTACGTTACATTGCGACGTGTAAAAATAAAGTAATATCGTTTTCATAGTATGCAGCGCGTTAGTGTAGAATTTACGGTGACAAATTGAGTGATAGGTCGGACTTAGGGAGTCTCAAAACTTTATCGATAACGTAAGTAAATGAGTGATAGGTCGGACTCCCTACACGAAACTTTATCCATAAGGTAGGTATACCCGCCTAAAAGGCAAAAAAAATCTGTTAGGATCGCAGAAAGTAGAAATGTGTAATCTGTGTTTAGCCTGTAGATAACAAGCGTGTTTATGTATGTATTAATCGCGTTTAATTTCATTCTAAAAGCCATTACTTTGCTATAAATTGAAGTGAAAACTAATTTTATAAGATTCAGACAATTCATTAAGAATATTTAGGTCAGCTTGAGCTACCGCAGTTATGATATTTAAACTATTACTGAAATTAAGAACGTAGGTTTCGTTTGCAAAAATCATAACATTGTAAGAACAGTGAATATTGTAATTAGAGAACAGTGAATATTATGAATAAAGAATTATTTCATTAAAAAAAACAAATTCTGCATTAAAACTTTATGTTTATGAATAATTATGATATATGCTAAAATGATTATTATTAATTACTAGCCTAGGATCAACTCTATATAACATGATAAATAAATAATAAAACACATAAAATTGCAAATGTCTTATTGCCTGTAAGTCGTATGCGTATTATTGATAAATACTGCATGAAGTTTTAAGCGATATAAGTAATCAATAGGTGTTGATGTGCCTTGGTATGATTTGCTGGCAATTTCTTCGGAAGGCATTTTGAAAAGATAGGCAAATAAAATTCAGCCGTATTGTACGAAGGCAATGTAAGGAATCTTTAATAAAATATACTCAAAAACACATTAAACTGATTATTAAAAATATTGAAGTAAAATATTGTTATAATTTATATGTTATCATGTGGATTTCTCGTTGCAATATAACTTCAATCAATTGAATATGTGTTTCACTAAATATGTGAAGCAATCTTGTAACGTATACAGAAACTTAGATGTCTGATGCAGATATAAATTTGATAATATGTAAAACAAATACCTTGAGGAGATTCTCGATTTCAAATGAGTTAGTTCTGGAACTGACTTTAGGAGGTCCGGTACTGGCGGCATCGCCCCCATGCGCATCTGCATCGGGGCTGTACAATTCTTTACCTGGATAGGAAGGAGACATTACGTAATATAACATATTATATGTATATGAAATTTTAAACATATAATTTAACTGTGATAGGGCCACCGAATAGTATTCTCTATTGCAAGAATGGGCAGGTCCGTTCGGGAAAGTGCGTTTCGCCTAGTGAGTGAGGTAGCCGGGACCCACTTTATTATAAGGTGTACGCATCTGCAAGCCTAAGGGTGTTGCCAAAGTTAATGGGTGGCGGATATCACTTAACGTCGGGTGAACCGTCAGCTCGTTTGCCACCTTCTTACGTAAAAAATATAACAATACCGTAGACTGTCATGACATATTTTACATGCCAGTGTTGAGTCCATTCGAGAAAATGTTGCGGAGATTAAAACGATACAAAAACTAAATAAGTCCAAAGCAAATTCAATTTCACGTTTCTTTGAATATATGCCAGGAAAAAGGCAACACAAAAATTATTCCTAGCGAAAATTTTAATAAAAACAGCTGAACGTGGGTGGCAGCAGAAAATTACATCTTTCACGTTGAGCCCGCTTTATGACAAGAAGTGACACAATGTGCTTTTTTGGTCGAGGTGAGTCAACAGCAGTCACAAGCAAATAGCCCACGGAAAGGGTCACGGCCTTCATTTTGAGGCCGCTACGAGTGTCTACTTGTTTCTAAGTTAGTACATATTTCTACTTGCCTACACAAGGGTTTTTCATTTATTTTTTGTTCAGTTCACGAAAAGGGGTTTGTGCAAGTTTAAAATTGTTTTTTTTTTGTTTTGTTATGATGGCTACAGTTGTGAATTTCCAAAAAAAAGTATAAAGAACTGTTATGTACATGTTTCGTAAATATACAACGAAAAATATAAAAAGTTTGATAACAATCATAGTAACTAATTGTTCAATTCTAATAATATTTGTTAATAATTTCTTCTCTTATAGTAATTAATGTGATAACAAGTTATATAGATATCTAATAATTAATTGCATGCTTAATGTTACATACTATCTTCATATTAATGATTTAAAGACCGCTTAATCATCTGCAATTCCATTAACAACGTTATCTATTTATGTCGTTGCTCATGTATTTCACATTTTATATTTATCGTGTTCCTGCCTTGTAAGCTAATACAGCAGGAAACTTATGAAAGAAATGATAAATGATACGTTCATAATCGGATGGGGGTAAAACGAGGAGAGCTTTTCATTTTAAATATCGAATAAAAGTCAGCCAAGCAAAATTTTCTTTATATGTCATATGCGTCATTATTCATTTGCTAACAAATAACACGGAGGTCGGAAGGCTCTATTGTTTCGTGCTCGCATTGTCTGGCGACGCATAAAATTGCCTTTCCGACGAAGATAATATTAAGCTAACAACTATTCATCATTCGGGTACACTACACATACTCATGTATTTATTAAGCGTTGTCAATAAAGGCTTGTGAAGTCACAAGCTATTAGGAACCATTGCAAACGTTTCATGAGCTCGGTATAGAACGCCCTGTTAACTTAATATAATGACCACAAAATAGCCGTGTAGATGAGCGGAAAATGAAAATGGATAGAAAGTGTAGGGCAATAATTTTAACTAATTATATTTATGGTTTACAAGTTTAATCCGTTTGTCAGTATTTTTTTTTTAAATTTACTGCTCTTTGTAGAAATTCTGCTATATTTTCTACGGAAGGTATTATAAGTTTAGTAAAGAAATTATTTCAAAATGTGCGCAATTTTTATGATACATATCGGAGTTAATTTTAGTTGATTTAGATGCACATTTATAATAGAAATATGATTTATGATTATATTCAAACACAAAAGTTATTCCTACATCGGAGTTAATGTTCTTGTGCCAATTACGATGAAATCATAATTTAACATGTTGGCTGGGGGCCACAATACTTCGAATTCATGAAATCATACAGCTTGGATGCCAAGTTATGGATAGAAAATTATTGAAGAGGCGCTTGTTGAGAGGTAGGAGCGGAATGCAAATCATGATTCAATTAATATTGCTCGCTACCATATAATAACCCGAAACAATATGATGTATCACCGATACCGATTAAAATTTAATTGGATACTACTGCTGTATAAATTTTATACATATATATGTGAAGACAATAACGTTATGGTCGATATTAAATTTTTTCCGATAATAGCGGATACACAAAGTATTTTGGTGCATAGGAGAGATAATGTTTGTGGGGAAGGGAGGCGAGATATGTGGCGTTGTGGAACTTAATCCGCACTGGTGTGGGCCTACCACGTCAAAGAATAGACAAAGAATAAATTGGGTATGACTGAGGCACTCCAATGGGATATTTAGCGAGCACTAACACTAGATGCAAAAGTGAGTCAAAGTTTTTTTTCTAAATTTCTAAAAGGCCTGTCTACAATTATTTACACTATATCGTAATAATAAAAAGAAACAGTAGTTAACATGTATACGTGTAAAAATATTAATAAAAATTAACAGATAAGCAAGTATCTCTTAACAACAATACAAATTAAAACTATAAATAATGAAATAGTGAAATAAGAAGTAAAACGTAAATAAATAGTTAAAAAATATTAGCTGTTAAGAATACTTTAGATACATTATAAGTAAACTAACAATATTCACAATTACCGAGAGGGAAATAAGACGTAAAAAGTATACGATATGCACGTGTGATATAGAAAAGGTATATGAAGTCTATAAGGATCGTAAAAGTAGTAATCCATTATCTTTCGTCCTTTGTATCACAGACGTGGGTGTTTAAGTATGTATGTTTGTACTTACTCCAGGCTGGCGCAGGCACTATGAGGCCTGATATCATGTCATCAGAGATGACGGGCGGCTCACTAGGTGGCGGTGGGCACACTAGAGAATCGATTATATCATCAGTGGCGGCCCGCATCACGCCGTTCAGCTCCGGAGGTTCTTTCCGCGAAGATCTGTATGAAACAATAAAATGTCACAACAACAGTTTAGCCATATGAGTTATTAAATAAATGGCATTAATATTTGTGTTTTATTTATTTTATTTTTACATAAAATCTATAGTATTTTAATGTCAGATGTATCTTTACTCCAATTGCGACTAAACTGTTTTCAGCTGTTTACCCATATTGATGAAACTCGTTATTTTAAATATTCAAATATTTTATGTGTTCAAAGGAACAACGAAAGGAGTAACGAAAAGTTGTGGATGTGGATACAGCTTTAGTTTATCGCACAAAATTCTAAACGTATATGAAGAGAGCAGAAGGGTACTTTATGAAGTTTTTACAGACTTACCGCATGATATAGATAAATGTTTGGTCGTGACAACTTTGACGAGGTTTTTAGTATAAATATAGATGCAACAGCTTAGAACAGTTACATGGTGTCAAGAGTGACAATATCGAGGTGACAGCTTGCCCGGAGACATTAATTCACGCGGCGTTTAGACGTCAGAAGGCTCAATTACCGTCGCCTAGAATAGGCGATGTGGTGTTGCGCAGAGGGACTATTCTGCCAGGTGGCGGTCGGCGAGGGCCGCAGGGGGGGAATATGTAGGTCGGAGCGAGCGCTTCAGTAAACTTGTCGCCGCAAAAGGTCAGGTGTATGAGGGCGGGAAATGCCTGTGAAGGCCTTCCACTTCGCCCCAGTGCGATGCGCACCGAGCGCCGCTTCAGCTTCCGTTTTATTAGGCCCCCAGTCGCCCGGTTTCCTGCTCCGCCGGCACTCTCAACGGGGCATTGCGAAAGTTAATTTATTTTCACTCCCGATATTATCTGTTGACCCCGATAGTCTATGTCGCTTCCATTTTCCAGATTTCAATGACTCCGCGACGCAGTTGCCAAGGTATTGGCTTCGCGTCATGGCTCGTGGGTTCGATTCTCACACGGGACAACTGTTTGTGTGACCCATAGATGGTTCTTTCGCATCTGGGTGTTTGTCCGCGTGAAATTTATGTTCGTAAAACGTCCTTACAATACAGGATAATGATTATCCTATAGTAAGGGCCATGTTTTTAAACAAAATAAAATAAAAAAAGAAAAGAATTAGTTATCTGAAGTTGACTAAATCGAAGCGACGCTGCCGAATACATTGGCTGATTAACGTAATGTGTAATCATACTCAACGTTAGGCATGGGTGGAATATCAGCGAGTTACCTCATCATCATGACAAGCGAGAGCTCTTCCTGCAAGACGCTCTCCAAGTACATCATATCTAGGTCAGACACGATCGCTCCGTTGATCACCATTATCTCGTCGCCTTTGATTATCCCTGATGAAAGAGACAATAATTGCAGCCCGAACTTCGAATTGATTTATTTTTTTAAAGTATAACAATGGAAAGATCCAATCCAGAAATGGTTTGTAAGCTGAATTTGATTTTAATAATAATTGAACACAAATTGAATTCAGATCGAATCCATAAATTTTAATGTGTTTTTAACTCGATTTCAGCCCCATTATCGGCGCGATTGTGAAACAAGATAAATACCGTTCTGCATGGCGACGCTTTTGTCTTCAACGCGACTGACGTAGCAGCAGAGCTCATCCTGTCTTTCTGCGTTTTCTATGAGCTCGGCTTCGACACTGAATCCCCACATTTGCTCGAGAGTGTTCCTTTGCAGCTCCACTTGATATAATATTTTGGCACAAACTTCAACTACCTCATGGGTGTGCAGCTATGGTAAAAAACATATGTAAACTTGAAAACATATATAAACTTGATATAAAAAAAAAGAAATATTATTTATAAATCTGGGCAAGTCTTCGTTTAAAAATATCAAGGCTAAAATATCAAATTTATGCCGCTGCTAAGCTTCTTATCACGTTATAACTCTATCATTTTTTGGCGTCTGTTAAAAGTATGGTATGAAAGTAAACAATAATCACAAAGTGTATATATTGATATGTAAAAGAACATAAATATTTTTTTGGAATAAGTTTTCTTTCAATTTCCACACAAAGAGATCATGTTTATTCAGCATTATAGTGTAATCAAATTCATTGGGCTTCGCGTAATTGGTCCCTGGGGTTTCCAATGATCACATAAGGGTATCATTAAATGAATTACTTGCCTGTTGCGGGCTTGAAACAACATTTTTTTACATATTTTAATGTATAATACTTTGTAATTTGAATTCAGTGCTGTCGGCAGTTACTTGAAGCTATTTTGTAAGGTATCATTAATTAATTTGCGCAGCTTTTAATTTGTGTTGGGTAAAAATTTCAATATTATTTATCTGAACTACGAGTAGCTAATAGATATTTTAGTAATAAAACAGTACATTATTTGTACGAAGTTATACTATAAATATTTGTATAGTTATTTTAAAAGTATAGTAGCAGGTTGATCATATGGGACAAATAATTACGAATACAGATTTTGGGAAATTTTGTGTTGTTTATGTAAACGACTTAAGTGTTAATTTAACAACTGAATGCTCAAGAAATACATAATAGTTATAACCCATTCACATTGTTTACTTTACAATATATTAGATTGGTTTAGTCTTAGGTCGTGAGTTCCACATGGCAAAAGTATTTTTATCACCCACATATAATTAATATTGGTGGGGTTTTTCCATGATATATTTGTGAATGTCGAACGTCCTTACAATACAGGATTAATATTATCCTATAGTAAGAGAAACATTTATATCAGATTCTGATAGAAAAATTAAAAATGCAAGATCCATTGTTACCTATGTATATATATATCCCCCATGTAGAAATCCCACCAATTGTAATTTGACACACTGGATTCCAATGGAAAGCCGGGACAGCACATTTAAGTTGTATCATAAAAAGGCCTTAACCTGCTTTTCACATAAAAAAAACTTTCCACACCATTTCACATAAAAAAACATATTTGCATATAACGTATAAGTTTTAAAAAAAAAAAACAAGAAAATTGATATAATACGTAAGAAGTGACCTGCTGGAACTTAACTGTTTATTAATCCCCGATCTTCCACAGCCGTAAATGTACGGCACATCTTTACTACTAGAAACACTGTCAGGTAATAAGAATAGCGATTCAAAAAAAAGAAACTCACGTAAGTTTCGATCAGATCGCTCCGATGGGGCACGAAGTAATTATGGTCCTCCATGTCGCGGCGTTTCTTCACTCGCACGAAGTGCTCCAAAGCGTTGAGAGAGCGCCTTGCGCAGGCCGCCACGAGGAACTCCTCCACAGACATGCCCTCACGAACGCCCACGGTGGCGGTGGTGCCTTCAGGGAGTGACACCCGAACCGCCGCTTCGCTCTCTTCGCGAGACATCTGTTAGCACGAGCATGTTTTACACGTGGCCACCGCTTGACCGAATCAATTGCAAGGTCACGTCAAACATTAAGAACAACTCTTCATTTGTTCTATTTAAAATTGCAATTGATGAATCCCACCAGTAACGACTTTTATAACAAACACGAATTTATAGATGGTTCACATTTTGAACGAAAAAATACACCAGAGTCATACACCAAAATGTATACAGTAGTAATTTATATGATGGAGATAGGAATATGGGTTTTGTTAGTAAAAGTTAAATAAACATCAACAAAGTCATATAATACAATATAATAAAGCAAATAATCTTGGAAAAGTTTCTTCTTAGTCATTATAAGATGGTAAATTTTCTCACAAAGTAGTTATGTTAATCCAGCCTAGCATTTTATCGGACGGCGTATTGCAACCTTTTGTGTAATTTGTTGAGGAAACAAGGCGGCACGCTTAATGAAAGGTAGTAGGAGGCAATGAGCGGCGGGGAAGTGTACTAATTGGCTCTTTTCATGCTAGCTTGTATTAGAAGTTCAGTATTGGAGTAACAATATCAGGGGTTCCATGTATTTTACGAAGTAAAAGCTTTCTATTCTCGCCTGGTCTTTTCAATGTTAATTTTCTTGTAACACACGACCTTTGTTTTCGGATGATACAAGAAAAATACATTAGAGAGTGTACTCACTCCGAGCAATACATAGGATTTATCGCCGTTTTTAAGAGCAAACTACGAAAGAGCAAATAAAAATGTTGGAGGGTGATTTATGAAGTATCTTTTTAAGAGCTTTTAGCGTTCGTATCTTCTCTTTTTATTTACTAGTTTCACTGAATCAGGAGCGCGAATACGTCGAAATATAAGAAAAAACTTACAACATTTAACATTTCGACCTGTCACTGCATTGTTTGATGTCGCATCACATAACGAGTTCAGTAACGCACACGGATTGTTTTTTTTTTTTCATAATGACGTCATCATATTTTCCGTGGGGCCGCGTGCGGTTTTTTTTAATCAGTGTAAGTGTAATCGAGCTTACCTGCATAGAGCGTCGACTCGAGCCCGAGTTGGAGCGTGACAGGTTGGGGGCACGCCGCTTGGTGGCGCCGCGGCCGGCCAGCAAATTGTTCAGCAACGAGGGAGAGCGGGCGCAAATGAACGCGTGGAAGGACGACACCGTGAACACGCCCAATTTGTTCAGAGTGCTCTTTGTGCCGCGTGACACGTGCGTCAGCAGTGACTGCAACAGAGCTCGCTTTGGACGGGGAAAAGTATTCGACAATGCGACGCAATAAAGTTGGGCTTGTTCTGTGTTTGGTTTCGCAAAAGTGTTTACATTTTAACAATCGATATTCCATTAGTATACAGTGTCCTCAAATGGTCCGTAGCGATTTTATTTATCAGTTCAAACCGAAAATAGAAATGTATCTAAGTCTTACACTTATACGTTACGATATATCTATACTAATATTATAAATGCGAAAGTAACTCTGTCTGTCAGTCTTGCTTTCACGCCAAAACTACTGAATCGATTTAAATGAATTTTGGTACACAGATATTCTAAAGCCCTATTTTTTTTTAATTGGAAAAAGTGTTTTAAGGGGTTGATATTTATTCAATATCGTGGTATTTATTCAAGGGCTTCAACGAGAGCAAAGCCGCGGACGAAAAGCTAGTAGTTACAATATATGAAAATCATAATACTACTTATCATAACACCAGCAGAGACGATGTTAACATTCAAATATTCTCATTCCTTTGCATATGTATTAAAGCGAGCACGAATTCATTTTCAAGCTTTGATTTGAAAGTGTCCGTAAATGTAACAGGAGCAATATTTACTGATATGATAGAAATGGGATTTTGCTACAAATTTTATGAGCAAGACGACTCCTTTCATACGGGTACTTACTACGATTGATGTAAAATTCTGTATTACTTTCTTGGAAAGGCGTTAGTAAGGTGTGAAGTAATAAATCGCACAGATTCACAAACTGTTATTAAATTTCGCGATCCGAAAAAAGGCGGTCGGAAAAATGATATCGTCCGAGTTCTACACGCCTTCACAAACCTTAAATATGCATTATGCATAAAGCCAAGTGAGTATCTGTAATAAAGGGCATTACAATAATGTTGCTGCTCCGCTGACTCTCCATACGGCATACTTTTATTCATGAGCGAGTTAGTACCCGAAAATAATCAGCCGCGGATTTGCGGCACTTTCACAGTAACTTTTCTAGGTAGCTATTTATATTGTATGACATGGGTCTGGCGTAACAGATATTGGCCCTCCTCGCGCCAACGGGGAACTGTCAATTTGGTTCTGCAGCCAACAAATATCCCTTTATGTCAGTTCGTAGAAATTATTACGATGTCAGAGAAATATTTTAACGCTCGCGTATGAATATTATTCACGAACATGAATAACATTCACGAAAGTGACTAATATTCATTCTTATAATAATTGTTTCTCTATTCGCGGAGCAATTATTTGTTGACATAAATATAGGTTTATTTGAAGTACCTTTTCTACTCGTATTTACTTCATTAATAAACAGTGTTGAAGTGATTTTAACTTATTAAATATTATTCTATATACCACGCCTTTCTTTTATTTGTCACAAAACTGTATCATTATCTATATCAATTATGTCTGATAGCGCATCCAACTATAATTAACAAATGGTATTTACTTTTTATCTACTAAATATTAAATAATAGATCAATCAGTAAAGTACATAAAACGTATCGAGGTTCGTGTAGATATACGCAAACGTTATTTAATATCTTCTACCGACTTCAAAAAAGGAGGTTCTCAATTTGGTTGTATTTTTCTGCTTTCATGTTCGTTACGACAGAACTCAAACATTTGTGAACCGATTTTAAAAATTGATTGCTTTGGGTTAGATTTAGCTCCAACGTAATTCCACATTAATTTAATTCTCCGCAAAATCAAATGAATGAAATAGAAAATATTTAAATCCGTTTTGTTTTTTTGTTAATAGAAGTGTTACGGCTAGAAGACTTGTATGGCAAATGTTCGGAATATTGTTTATACCTTACCTTAGGGTTCGGTAGTTCGCCGCTTTGTAGGCTCGCCATGTAGCAACGTAAGCGGAACTGTTCGCAATGGAGGCGTTCCAGGTTTTCCTCCCACTGCAGCATCTGAACCGCCAGCTGAGCCCTGGTCTCGGGGTCCGATACGACAGATTGCTGCAGGTCCGCCATGTGCTTCAATTTGTGATCCTAGCGCAAAAATCGATGTTTGTAGCGCAGACGTCATTTTAGAAGACGTTTGTCAATGAATTTTTCAATGCTAGAAAAATATTGTGTGATGCATATAATGTTGTTGCGTTTATTTACGAAAAAAGAAAAGAATCTTTAAGTATGTTTATCAGTTATCTAGTAGCCGTAGTACAAGCTTTGCTTTGGGACTAGATAACGTTGTGTAAAATACGTTTTGAAATAATCTATTAATATATATATTATTGAACACCGTGAATATTCCAACACAAAGTTGTGTGCTCACACAACTTTTGAATCATTTTTAATAATAGCGCGGTGACTGTTAAGAAAACGATAAAAACGTTATTATAATAATAATAGTGACTTCCTAATTGCCCACAGCGGCGTTTAAGTTCGCTCGGCATGGTGACGCGAAACAAAAACTTAGTTAACCACAAATTACTATTTCGAGTCTGTGTTTTGATTTTGTGAACCCCTTGCAACACGGTATTAAATCTGAATGTGAATTGAAATTAAATAAAAATTTAATATTTATTCAAAACTGATTATTGAAATAAAAGTATTTTAAGGTTTATAAAGGTTTAAAACACTAGTACTAGCAATATATTCACGCAAGTCCGAAACTTAATAATCAGATATACATATATAGTATATATTAATTTAAATATTGTCCTCATATGTTCACAATATCCAGAAAAAAAAAAATGTTTCTTGTGCTTTTGTCTCCGACGATCGTTTGTAAAGCTTTTGTACGACTAAAATGAAAAAAAGATGAATATGTATGAGGGACGCGTCCAGTACCTTTTTTTTATGCGAGGTTTCTGCTGAGTTGATTGCAATAATGCTAAGCAAATTTGTAAAACCATAGCTGCAAAGGCTCAAAAAGACAATGTAGTGTGACATTTTCATATAGGTTAGACGTTGAACTCCACAGAGTACGACCCTGTGCTATGAATATTAATGAATCTGTCCCACCTGTCTATGTCACTATCAAAATATGCATAAAATATCTTGTACACATTTTACAAAATGTTAATATTATATTATCATTGTATATTTCAATATCACTTATATTCGTAAGAAACTCTTCTGATTAGAGATTATTTTTGATACGTATACCGAATGAGTAAACTATTTCTATCCTAATAATATGTTAAATAAAACGTTATTATTATTATGGGATATAACTAGCACTAGCAGTCCTAGAAATAGTCATCATGAAACAAAAAAAATCGAGAGTCGAACCGTCGATCAGCGGCATTTAAATATTTTTTTTAATTGCTGCGCCGTGAACGATACTTTAAATAACTCAATTAAAAAATTGATTTAACAACAAACGGGTCAACCTTAAAAGTTCATTCAAATGGCCGACCTAATAAAAACATCAAAAGTCTTGCGCTAGTTCAGAACTTCAGCTTTGTGTTGGGTTTTGAACACAAATATACTGCATAGATGGAGAGCGGGCAACAAAAGATATTGCGATGGAAACGCCGACGTATTCAGTTGCTTGCATTGTGTTGTGCTGGTATTTGATTTAGATGCCACTATCTGTGGCGAGTTCATCGCGCCCGGTTGAAATTGTGGCCGTGTTCGCACGCTACGCCGGCGTAGGCGACCGCAGAGCCTTTGATGCGTTCTGCGGTCGCCTCGCCCCGTGCGGGTCAGAAATTGGCACGGTTTCCACCGGTGACGCTACAGGCCGCATTAGAACCGTCATCTCCCCGCATTATGTATAAGCGCGCTATCAACGCGTAGCCCGCAAGCGAAGCTTGGCTGACGTCATATTGCGATTTGTTCGCACAATTCTTGGTTTTGCTCTACGCTATATCCATTTAGAGAGCGTATATAACAAATAACTTCGAAAATTAATTCGAAAATCAACACAACTTATGTGTCTTTTTGCTTTGAATGCTGTATAAATGTACCATTATATATTCGAAAAAATTGCGTAAAACAATAAACAAGTGCGTTTTTGTAATGTATTCCATATTACTTCAACCCTCATACGAAACTTTTTGTAATAAAGTAATTCCTACATCGGTGGAAAGAAATATTCGTAACAAGAACGGTGAAAGCAATAAATTTATCTGCATAAATGATGAATGCTTTCTGCCTCGCTACATTGTACACACTTGAAAGCTTAACAGACCTCGGGAGTAGGGCGATGCTGGAAATTGACTCTTACTATATTGCAACTTAGAGCTGAATTTGGGCCGTTCAGAATTCAGTTTACGAAGGTAGAGTGATTCGTGTCACTCAAACAATATTTCTGTTATTTCAGGCCCACACCGGTAAGCTGTGCATAATATCGAAACGAAACCGTATTGTGTCTCTTACTAGTAGAATAGACATTGCATGGACAGTTTTATTAAAAAAAAAAGTTTTATCTCGAAAATGAGTTTTGTGTTCGCATTCCACTATATGTATGCTACGGCATGTTTTGTGTTCCTGATGAAATCTGAAGTGACCTGTACTCACCGATTCTATGGCTTTCTCGAGACGATATATTTCCTCCTGCAGCAAATGGAGCGTTCCGGTTTTGCCGCGATGTCGGGCAAACGCCGCAGCGCATGCACTATGTATGCTATTCACCCAGTTTTCGAGCTCGACCTGTTAGGTTACGCCATATACATATAACGGAGAAGCGTTAAGAATGCTTTGCTCGCTGTTTTCTGAATTACGGGACATCTTACTTGGCACGGTGCTTGGAACAGGTATGCGTCGCCGAATGCGGTGCTCAGGCAAAATATGTAGTCTCGCTTGGGGTGTTCCGGTATGGGTTGCATTATGGCACCGTCGACTATGATGAGATGCTTGGGGGCAGCTTCTACTGAGCGCCCCTCGCGCGAATCGCACGGATAAAACAGCAGGGTTGTGCCCTTCAAGCACACCCAGTACCCCTTCCAGCCGCGCTTGCGAGCCAGTTCGATCTGATGCTTCTTGCGTAGTAGCCATTTCTTTACGCTGAGAAATCTGCATCAGAGTTAATATTAAACATTGACAGCCAAAACGCGACGTAATGAAGTTGATTGGAAAGCGACCAACTTCACGGTATTACCATAGCAACTAATAACAACTTTTTGACATTAACCTATAATTCCAAAATATTTAATTAAACCGTTACCGATTGCATTGTCTTTTTAACAAAAAAAGAGTACCGGCATATGTTTTGCTTACACACATTTTTTTTACATTTTATTACGCGCATACAGCCTCAGTCACATTTACTGCAGTGAAAACGGGAAACTTTCAACACTTAAAGCCGGACCTTCTTTGTTTCATTTACAGCAAATAACCGTAATTGCTTTCAAACTGTTTACAGTATTACAGGTATTTCGTGATGTTGAGCGTTTTGACCCAATTAAGCGCGGCCGCTTGGTCTTGGATGGGACCGGTGCCGTGTTATGATTTCAATTGCTCATTTAACTTGAAGAACTTTCTGAACCGATTTAAATGACGGACAATAGCCACTACAACGTGTACCGTGAAATGACATTATAATGACGAACCTCGATTAACAGCGTGTTTCAACTTGTTAACTTAATTTTTTATCCAGCTAAAATTTGATGCTAAAGCTATAACGCATACATAAATCCATTACACGGAAATTCCTGATGTGCATAAAATTTAATTAAAGTACACATTCATTTCATACCCGGGATGCGGCTCTTATCTCGCATAATAAATGAAAAAATATTTATGACATAACGATAGCTCTTGCAAAGTTTGTAAATTAAAATGCACGCTATCCTATCATGTTTATTTTAAATGTATGATTATCGAGTAACTACAAATTGTTTTTGTCTAATATTGAAAACAAAACGTAGGGAGAAAGACGATTTATAAATAATGGGTAGACGAGTAACTCGTACATAATATGAAATACATTATATGTTAAACTGAACATAAGAAATATGGGTAATTATATTTGATAAAAATTATTAAATATTTTTCACCTCAATTTCAATACAGTTTGTAAGACGTTGTTAGCAAATTACATATTAATATAAAATCTTTTTTTCCTTTTTGATTTACCAAGTAACTTATTATTTTAAATTTCTAACATTTAACGAAAATTGGATAAACAAATCCGGAAACGTATCCATAAAAAGCATATGTTCGATTTGATTAAATTAGGTTTTTCTTTGTAAGAACGAATTATTGACACTTTTTAGTTAGATAGATCATTAAATAAATTATGTGAATAGTGGTATTTGTAGCTTTCTAGGAACTTAAAATGGATATAACATACAATATAAAAAATAATGCAATTAAAGTATGGTTATAGTGGAGAGAGAACCGAGATGTGAGAATTTATTGGATTGTGTAAAAAGCAACAACACTAATGGGGAATATTTTGAAATAAACAAAAAACCGTCGGTTCAAAGCAAGTTTTTATTTCGAGATGCTTTTAAGTATTTAGTTCATCCGAGTTAAACTTTTCTTCATCCGCCTTTTCACTGGCTTTGTGGTAAATATAAAACTTCAAATTATTTCAGATATTTTCTAAAAGACCGTTAATGTATATGATCATAAACATAAAAAGCGTTCTATTATAACTATGAATTTGTTATAAAATGGTTAACTGTAATAATTTTCATATAGTACTTGAGAGAGACTAAACAACAATAATAATATTTCTTTTTATTTGCGTTAATTTATTTGTTTTATTGAAGGTGTAAATTTTTGCAATGTTATTTCATATATAATTCGAGTCCTTTCATTAGTGGACAATCTCATTATATCTAGTAAATGACTGAAGGGTTAATGTTGTGGGGACCAAATTAAGGACATTTTCACGATGGGTATTTTTAAAGATTTTTTTGAAGGCGAATTTTTAATTAAGCATTATATGTTTTATTATTTATGAACGAAAAAGCTTAGGAGGTGCGCATTTCATGATCTTTTATTGAAGCCCTTCTCAACCATAAAGTTTTTTCCACACTGCCACTTAAAAAAAAGAAAAAAATCTCATCGAAGCCTTACATCCTGTTTCCCCCTGCTTACTTGTACGTTTTACAGCCAGCCTGAATGGGTCACGGCTAAGATTTCCCTCCGGTCATTTGGGATTCATGGAAGAGAAATTGTAGCCTCAAGGAATATAAAGGACGCTGTAGGCGTAAGAAAACTCGTCAACTCCTACCAACAGCACTTCTTTCCAACTTTTCTTACAATTATCTAAAGGCGCCAAGAAAGCAGGTGCTTTTAGTGAGTTTTTTTATTAAAGGATCGTCAGCGTAAAGGAACGAACTATGAAGTGTATTCCCAGTGCGAAGTTTTCGCATATTATAACGGGACAATAAATAATCACAAGTACTTATCAATGTAGATTATATTAATTTCAACTGCAAAACATTTAAAAAGTTGATGTTTAAGAATGGTCTTGTCTGTGTCACGTCTTTTTTTTTTTAATTTTCTTGAATATGATCATCATGTTCTTTTTGGTTGTATGTGTCATAAATACAATTTTGTCAAAACAGATCATCAATATTTGATGCTTTCTATAGTGTCGAATTCAAAGTTTTATAATTAATAAAATTATTTTACACTAATTGGTTATTCTTTGTCACTCGCGACGACATTATCTTCAAAATGAATTAAAATTTCAAAATCCCATGACCAAAGTATTCATAAGAGAAATTGTTGTTTCGATTAGCATAATTGACGCTTTAAAAGTAAGGTTATAGCAATGTCTTAGTAAACTTATGTCTTAGTAACTGTGGTAGGGCCAAGCAAGAGTCTTGGCTGTTGGCTGAATGAGCAGGTTCGTCCGAGTAAGTATCATGACCTCACAGAAGACCGGCATGAAGTGGAATTGTTATACTTCTGCGTTTCTGGGGAATTAGGTTGCCGGCGCCCACTTTATTTAAGGAGTCCCTTGCAACCCTATGGGTGTTGCAAATTCCCATGGGCGGCGGTCACCACTTAACGTGCGGTGAACCGCCAGCATATTTGAGACCTTCACAAAAAATAGCTTACCCGGCCTTCCTGACGGCCCCGGTGCAGTTGAAGGAGGCAGCCGCAGCTCCGGTCTGCTTGCCCTTATACGGCGAATTCATCGCGCTCTCCCCAGGTTCCTCTTCGTCCGACACGGCAGTCGTCAGCGACATGCGATCGTCATCCGATATCTGGATTCAACGCACCATCAGTGAGGCTTTTTATTTATTTAAATACCCAACTACATATATATACATTTGTCACGAAATTTATGTAATTTAACAAAATGTAGGTACCACCACGGCGTCATAGAAGACCGGCGTGAAGTGGAAGATTTTACCATAACATAGCTGCTAAAGCACTGTGACTTTTATAATATTTTACACGTATTTATAAGTAAACACATACATACGTATTTATTTAAAAAATACTAAGTAGTTTTTTATGTACTCAATTTTATTTAATTTGTGGTAATATTCTTATATAACTTTAAATGATAAAATACGTTATAGACGTTCTTAAGTATATGGAGGTAGTACAATCGGATGGAAAGTAATAATTGTTGGTATTTTTACAAAAGACCAGTTTTAGTTTTTATTCAGATCGTCAAGATCAATAGTTATTTTGCACTAAATGATATATGAAAAGAATCTGCTTAAAAATAAATGTGTTGAGGTTTCAAACCTTTTAGTTGGGTTTAATGAATAAGTATAGAGATACGGTCATTTTTTATCCATTTTCAGCATTTTATCGCGAGTCCAACAGTTTCTATAATTATCGTAAAACTTAATAAAATAAAATCAGAATCCCTTTGTAAACACAAAAAGTCATTGATGGTAATATAATTACAATACATAATAAATTACTGTTTCGATAGGGAAATGTAATATTAACTTATGTAATGCATACATTCATATAAACTCTTGGAATTTAATATAAAGAGTGCTCGAAAGTTGCAGCAGACTAATAAAAACTTTTTTCTCTGCTCACTGGAAGTTTGTTGACATAAGAGAAATTTCTACTAAGCGAAGTGAAAATAGAAAAATAAAGTGTGTTTTTTGTAAAGTTCAGCTACCAACTAGGAACTTTCTTGATGTATCGATACAAAAAATCGATGAAGCCTTATTCTTTCCTAGTATTATTTGTTATTCCCGTTCTATATCCGTGCAAATCGTACCCAATATTTTTAACCTTTAACCGTTAGCTTTGAATTCTCGCGTGACACTTATTTAATTATACATATTAGCAATTACCGATTGGTTGTAATTCATTAATCTTTCAACGTTACGAAGAAACTTTCCTCGCGCTCATTTAGTTCTTTTAATTTGAAAATTTGATTTATATAAGCTCCCGAGCAAGCCCCTCTTTTTCACTTCTGTCTGAGTATCTGTGCGTCTGTTTGTTTCTAAGCAAATGAACCGCTGATGCGGTTTTTTAAAGCTGACGTGATCAAGATGTTTCCTACCTATAATTTATGAAATTCTTTTGAAGCGTTGAATAATCATCAGCTCCTACTTGATAAAAAGGGTCTGGCTAACTTGCACAGATTCAATTGATTTGAAATTTGGTGTTTATTCTTTTTTCTGTGAAAATTTGCCAAGCGAGCAGACGGTTCACCTGATGTTAAGTGAATCCCGCCGTCCACAGACATCTACTACACCCTAGGGTTTCAGATGCGTTCACAACCTTTTGAAAATTGGGCTCCGGCCACCTCACTCACCAGACCAAACGCGAAAGTATTATATTTCCACTTTACGCCGGTCTTCTGTGAGGTCGTGGTACTTACCCGGACGAGCCTACCTATTCAATTATATATCGTGAATCAGCCGAGGCTGCTGCGTGGCCCTACCACCGTGAGTGTAGTGTTACTCCGGTGGTATTTCCAAGTCACGCCAGCCTTGAGCTGATGATGTAGCCTTGAGCCAATACTGTAGCATCAAATAGTCTGCGGGATGCTCAAATACTCAGAAACTTACAGTAGATGTAGTTTGTTTGCTCATAATAAAAGTATCTATGAGAAGGTGTTAGAAAGATGATTATGGCCACATGGTTGCCGTAGACATGCAATCATTTTAATTTCACATAAAAAAAGCAAGCATGCAACATGGAGAAGGCATGGCTCTGGCGCTGTTTTTTTTATTTTTATTTCTTTTTGTGTGTTATATTTTATTTTATTTTAATTTTATATTATTTTTCACGTATTTATACAATATTTAACTTCTCTCTAACATTTATATGTTGATGATCTCCAAGTTTACGCCAAGTTTCCAATCCAAATTACCAAAATTTAACCATAACAATAGAAGCAGTTAATGAAGATCTAGAATTGTAGAATGAAATAATTCTTATGGGCTGAAGCTAAATCCACCTAAAACATAAGCTATTATTTAAGGCAGCCAAAGGTTAGTTTCACGAATTGTTTGGACTACTCTTTCCTGTATAGATTTTGATTTACTTCTTACCTATACCTACCAAAATTACGCTCGCGGAATCTCGCCTCTTACCAATTTAATCATCCGAGAAATCCTTCCCATAGTACACCTTTCTACTCCAAGACCTTTTCCGTGAAAGCTGTTCGGCTTTGGAACGCTCTCCCACTACATATTAAGCGCGCACAATCGCTACCTATTTTCAAGCGACTTTTAAAAAATACACTTGATGCCTCCTTAAAAATTGTGTTCTATTCCTTGATGTTGCCTACTTATCTAAATATTTATACATCATTGTTATATTTACGTATATATTTACATATTGTGTTTGTAGTGTATATTATTAATATATATTTATATTTTATTTATTAGTTTCTGTTATCATTGCAGTGTACCGTTCCCTTACTCGGAACTTCTGTTTTTATTATCTCCTTTTCCTAGGTTGTATGGAAGAAATTTGCCGCCTTATCGCTTTTGAGGGATAAGGCCGCCTATTATAAATATTTGTATTATTTGGTGTTGAGTATTCACAATCAGTTGTAGTGTACAATAAAGTATAATTCATTCAATCATTCGTAGTTCTTTTCCTTATAAACAACCATGCAAAATTATACAATCTTCCGTGTGCGAATATTCTTAAAAAGATGTCCGAGATTTTTGCTTCACGTATTTGTACACAATTTATCTCGCTAAATATCTTTTCATATATTAATATAAGAAGTTATTTCATGAAGAATCTTTTATGTTAACATCATCCATACGAAGATGTTATGAAATGGGCTTTAGGATTCAGATTTCTTTATGTCATTTTACACTTTCAGGATAAAGTGGATGTATTCATCGTAGAAATCCACGTACATATTGTGCTGTGCTCGGAAAGCTAAATACAACCCGTAAATCAGCAATTTGTTCTCGTATTACTTATTTACAGTCTATTAAACACGCCTTGGAAATGGAACAGTGACGTTCTTATTTAATATCCCCATGAGATGGGAGATGATAGATGTGCAAAATATGTGAAGGGGACTTCTCATGCTACATGTTAAATACAGGGAGATTTTTTGAGAAGTGCCCAAATTTACACAGGAGGTTCAGACTCGTTCGTATAATCGTTTATTGAAATAAAAAACAACGTTTTTATTTTAAAAAAATGCCATTCTATTCCCTAAAGAACAGAACGTGTTGACAATGCCATAGTCATTCATAAATACCTAAATTTATGAATGACTACCGCATTGTCAACTAAAATTGTTCGTGCACTAAAATTACTGTGCACGAACTTGTGTGCGTGTTAGTTATGAATGATCGCGCGTAAAATAAATGACGCACTTTTTGAGATAAGTTCAAATGAATGTAATTAATTACTTACGAGTGATTTTAAATATTTATCATTTTTTATATAACATTATTTATGTCTAGAATTTAATTTAAAAAATGGATTTCTAAGTAGAAAATCCACCCTGTATATATAAAATAACATTATTCGATAAAACTGTGGTGGGGCCACGTAACAGTCTTCGCTGTTGAGGTTGAGGATGTAGCACGACGTCACATAAGACCAGCGTGATATGGAAGTGGTTAAACTTCTGCGTTTCGTCTGGTCAGTGTGTAACCGAGGCCCAATTTATTATAAGGCAGCGCATCTGCAACCTGTAGGGTGTTGCAAAAGTCAATGGGCGGCGGTTATCGCTTAACATCAGGGTATTTGCCATCTCGCTTGCCACCTTCTCACATTAAATAATATACGAGATTTTTAGTTATATCAATGCAAAACTTATGATGGAAATATACCATTTAAATTGAGTTTTAGAAAATCTAATTGACGTATTTTTTTATGATAAGTCCATGGACAATCCCAACACCAGAGGAGTTTTTGGTTGACTGTTATCATGAAAATGTTTATATTATGATGACAACTTTTTTTATCCATCAGTAGCAACAGTTAATTAATAGCATATTAGCAACAGCTATTGAAGAATTAAAACTATTATTAAGAAATGCTTCCGTATGAGAGATATGTAAAAAATTCCAAATAACAAATAAAATTAATAGAAATAATTTATGAATTTGCGTTGGTGAGCTATACGTTTTAAACTTGTCTTAAGAAACCAATAATGTGTTTAAGGAAGTACTTGAACAAGAGTGACATCTGGTAATTGCTTGGATTAAGTTCACTGCTTTGAAATATTCCACAAGTTATTCCGAGAAAGTCTTTACTGGACGAACGATATTCCGTTAGTCGTAGCTAGTCTCGAAAAATCTCTACCAATGGTTCTTTGCACATTTTTCTATTCACCATTTCATTTTTTATATGTTTTATGTGAAAAGTTGTCAAACCAGCAGGCGGTTCATCTGATGTTAAGTGAATACCGCCGCCCATGGACATATAAGGACATATCTCTGTACAGAGGATGTTTTTGCCCAGCTGTGGGACTTCTATAGACAGTTACTTTATTTTTTAATCAACACGATTTTACATGCCTTCGCAGTTATATTTCAAAGTGACAATTGAAGTTTTTGGGAATTATTAGTAAAGTGTTTCGCTATCATAGCTTTCTTCTAACTGTAAGTTCAATTGTTAATTTAGTGAAAATAAAATCAATTTTAGAATTTATATATAATATAATGATTTAATTCTATTTTTGTGCTATTGCTATTACTTTGTAATATTGGTAACTTTGTGAGTTTCTTAGAAAAAGATGAGAAAGAATTTTACGTATTTTTTTTTGTAACCACCTTATATTTCATCACTTTTTTAACAATTAGTCCACTAGCTTCGACAGGTCGGAAATTTTTATACGTACTATAGTTTTTGTATTTTCTCTGTAAGTGATTTGTTGTAAATCTTTGAGAACATAAATGTCTTAAACATTAATTAGATGTACGCAATGTTCAGCTCACATAAATGCAAAAAGAAATACCGTTCGTGCAAAACACTGCAAAGTTCAACGTAACGTGTTAGCCGTGTCGTTCGCAAATTCGTTTAGTTCCTGACAGAATATCCTTTAATCTCGAAGGAGAAATGTTGAGAGTATTTTTCGTTGCCTCGTAACAGGTAAATGTGTATATTTCAACTTAGCTAACGATGGCTTTTTGTTAAAGGGAGTAAATAGATTGTATGAGAATGATGGATGTAGAAAATAAAAATATATTAATTTTCTACTTCAAAGCTTTTACTTTTATATGAAAATAGTTATAATGGACACTTGAAAAGAGCACATGTTTCTTAAGACAAACACAAAAACATTTTATTAGCAAAATTGTTAAAATATTTATTATTATTAAAATAAATAAACAAATATTTCAGACATATTTTTACACAACGTATCAAGACCCAAATTAAGAAAAGTTTGTGCTATGAATACTAAATAACACTGATAAACATAATTAAACGTACATTTCTTTTCTAAATGAATACAAATTGTAGATATATAAACACCCAGACACTGGAAAACCACTAAATTCATCACACAATATTTTTCCAGTAGTGGGGATCTGTATTACGCCAGAGTGTGTGGGTTACACACCCTCTGGCGTAAGGGACAGTATCACGATTCCACTATGCCAATTGGGTCGTTAAACGGTCCAATATTTATAAAATTAACATGGGATCACATCTGAGTTAAACCGAACGCACTACAAAAAGAATTTTTAAAATGTCAGAGTTGCGAGGAAACAAAAACACAAAATACAACTGTATTGAGAACCTCTCCTCTTTTGTTTGAAGTCGGTTAAAAAGAAAAATCGTGAACGTAATTATATGCAGCATCAAATGTCGTGACGGTATGGCAAGTGTCGAGATTTGTTTGTTCGTTCGTAACGTTTCGGCGGAAGGTGACGGGCTCGGGTATATTTTTGCTATGTGCGACGGTACGTATAATGAAATTTACCGGCAGCCGCGCCCTCGTTTTCACTGAAATTTGTTGCCTTCACTACCGGTCCCGGGGAGTGGGAGCCTGGGTCTGTATACAGTAAGTACAAGGACGCAGCTTAACGAGCTGTAAGAAATATATACCCTTACATAATTCTCTGTAAGATATTAACCATTCGGCAAACTAAAGCATGCGTTTGAAATGAGAAAATTTCACATCGTAACATTTTGTTGTTCAACATCAGTGAAAAATCTTCCGGCATACATCGAACATTTTTGAATAGGTTACCGTCAAGTTATATACAAATGAGAAACGGTGTTTTGACATTCTTTCGGCGGGACGAAACTTTGAAATATGATATGGACCGCCGACTGCGTTAGAAGAAGAGGAAGAAAAATTGAAGGAAGGAAGGTATGACAGTTCATATTTAGCAAAGGAAAGATCGCCTTAAATTATTGCATTGTCCTGGTAGAACGGATATAATTGCAATATGTTTGTCTCCACTGCCCATTCTCTTGTGCTTTTTATTACTATACAATAATAGAGCGTGGCAGGGTTTGCTAGAGGCGCATGCGGGTCGCGGTAGCTCGTGCACTCTTGGCTCAATGGCCCTTGTCGTTGCCGCCGGCGCGGCCCCTTACCTGTGCCTTTCTCGAGAAAAAAAGAAAATACATCTCATAGAAAATTTTATTATATAATATACCACGGGTGCATAAGGCACGCGTACAGTCGCGGACAAAAGTCTTCCGCTTATTTGTGAAGGAGAGCAGTTATCTGCGCAATGAGTCTCAATTTTAGTGACGGTTAAATCTCTTATGAAGCGCATAGTCGGGGTAATTTTTTTAATTATGACTACTGAATCTTATGATTTCTATTCTCTTTTAATGACTGCTTCCCCATTTATGCTATGAAATGAATATTTATTGTATAGGTAAACTAATTGCCTAGTGGCTTTTGAGTAAATGGTCTTTAAAAACCAGCCAAGTGCGAGTCGGACTCGCGTACGAATGGTTCTGTAACATTTTCTACAAAAACGGCACAAAATCATGTCTTTTGTATAGGAGACCCACTTAAAAAAATTTTATTCTGTTTTTTAGTATTTGTTTTTATAGCGGCAATGGATATACATCATCTGTGAATTTCAACTGTTTAACGTTCACGGTTCATGAGATAAAGCCTGGTACCGACGGAAAGACAGACGGACAGACAGACAGCGGAGTCCTAGTAATAGGGTACGGGACCCTTTGGTACGGAACTCGAAAAATGGATAATGCTTATATTTTTTTATGTGAAAAGATGCCAAGCGAGCAGACGATTCACCTGATGTTAAGTGAATACCGCCGCCCATGGACATCTGCTACCGAGGGTTCCAGATGCGTTGACAACCTTTTGAAAATTGGGCTCCGGCCTCCTCACTCACCAGACGAAACGCGACAGTATTATACTTGCACTTTACGCCGGTCTTTTGTGAGGTCGTGGTACTTACCCGGACGAGCCAGCCCATTCGTGCAACAGCCGAGGCTGCTGCGTTGCCCTACCACCGTAAAATTATTGAGATAGTATGTTTACCATCTAAGACTACTTATATTATCCGATGAGATAAGCACAGATCAATGCTTTATCAAAGTGAATAAGGCCGAGATAAAATTGAGTTAACGCAAAACCTATCTTGTATCGCAATGTTGTATGAACTCATAATATAACCTATTATTAAAAATTGTTGCAATGTTAGGTGGATTGTTGAACATTTCTATTGTAAAATAGTCATTTGTGTCTCACCGAGTTTAGTGGGAAGTCGCAATCGCAGTTCCGAAACAAACTTTCCCTTTGCAGATCGTTTAGCGTGTAGAACATAATTACGTACTTAACGGTGGCTTACGCTCGGAAAACGCGAAATATTTCTACGATATTCCGTTTCGCAAATCATCATGGGCCTGCTGTGATGGAATCCAACGGTCGATACGTCCGCAATAATCAAAATAAACATTCGAAACGGTTTGGTCGGGGAAATACAGATTTAGCCAAACACCAACCTTTTCGAGCGGAATACAAATCCATATATTTCAATGTTATTCATAGTTATATTTTATTCCAGCGTACTCGTTACACGTTAAACATTTGTGCGTTTCATTGTAACATCATTACAAATTCATTCTATAAGACAGCCTTTTTAAATAAATAATAGAGTTGTGTAATGTGAAATTGTTTTACTGGGACTAATTATTTTTCCATTACGTTAAAAAGTTTTTACCGATGTGATTTTATTTGATAAACTGATTAGCTGTAATTAAATCTTGTTTGTCAAGCACGATTTTTGCAAAAGTCTTAACGATCAAATACCAATTAAAGTGTGAAAAATGAAAATCAAAAATTTTAAACGCACAGCAATTGAATATAAAAGGCCTCGTTAGCTGAAAAGGAAATTGCAGCTTCCCGCCGAGGAAACTAAAATAAGGTCAAAATGTTAGCTATATTCTACCGGCTTTTCACCTCGAGGTTATCTATTGTATAGGGTTATTGTGTGGCCTATTGAAAGCTGACCACTTGATACGTCATGGTATTACATATGGGGATATACACATATGAAAACATTCGTTCCCTGTAATATTTTCTGCCCACTTAAAAACCGGCCGATTGGATAGATTTTTTACTTACAGTTTTCAGTTAGGTAAAATAGTAATTTATTCAAAGTTAATTTGAATGGAGGGGATACAAAAAATCGTAAGAATAAAAAGTGAAGTGAAAACGTATAAAATTTTATTCAAAGGTCATAGAATGTATGAAATGTAGATTGAAATAGTGTTCTGAGTTCAAGGTGTCTGTTCTCGACGTGTTATACGACCGAATAAATAAAAAAAATATTTCGCCGAATGTGTCTCTTATTGAAATGTATAGCAAAAGATAGACAAAATGTGTTGATCCTATTATAATATACTTAAGCAGCTGGTTACCAAAGATAACTTACCTTCCTCAGAAAAGCTTCGTTACAAGTTTGTGCGGTGCCTTTCCAGTGATAATGGCGAAACCTTACATTGCCGAGTAACTTAGCGCCTTGTAATATGGACACTTCATACACAATTCGTCTTATATTCAGTACATCTGTGCGTTTCTTGTATTTGTTGAGCTTGCGCCTACGTACGATGCGCTCATCCGGCTCCGAGTATTCACCTGTGCTGGTGAGCCCCTCTTCAGCGGCCCAAGCGCTGAGCACGCTCTCGATGAAACTGAACAACTGCTGCACATTCGGCTCTAGCTTACTTGGTATATAGAGGTAGGGCGATACCGTTTTCTTCGGCACCACCGCCTTCTCGGTTTGGTCCTCCGGCGGAGGCGCAACGTCATGGTAGGGACAGTTGTGGATTTTGTGGTGATGGTGGTGATGGTGGTGGTGTCTCGCTCTCCGTTTGGGCTCGTTCAACACGATGGCGCTACCACCGTCCGCCTTCTCAGCGGCCTCACCGCCGCTCGAGTGCGAGTCGCCGCTGCGTTCGCGGCGCGGCGGCGGCGGGCGAACGGTGGACGCGAGCGACACCAGGGCACCAGCGGCGAGGCAGCAGTGGTGCGCGACGCAGCAGAACCGCGGGTCGCCCTTGCGGAGGCCGGTGTGCGCCTTGTGGCAGAAGGAGATGTCGGGAACGCGGGCGCCGAGGGCGGCGAGGTGGGCGCGGTCGGCGCACACCTGCATCAGCAGGTTCTCGCCGAAGTGCACGGTCTTGTGGCGCCGGCGGCGCAGGTGCATGACGGTGCCGCTGCCGGCGAGCGAGGGCGGCGCGGAGGCGGAGGCGGGCTTGACGCGGGGCTCGGGCGCGCGCGCGCATCGTGCCGGCGCGCGGTGCGTCTCCACCATCATTGGCGGGGAGGGGCGTGCGTCACCTCATCACTCGCCCGCCCCGCACCGCTGTCTCCGCCCGCTCCCGCCTGTGAGCTGTTCTCTCCCGCACTATTCTCTCACTTGCGCCATTCCATTTATGTCAATTCCCGCGAAGCGCAGTCATTTTGTTGGTATTGTCACTAGTTCGAACAGTTCGTACGGCTTGATTCCGTCTAAGAGCTGCTACTGACGAATTTTGTCACCGGGGCTTGAAACTTAATTGATAGTACGGGACGGTTGCTACAATATTAAACGTATACATAGTTTTGGTGCTATTAAGACAATTCACGAAAACACAAAAATTTATACGGTGTGTATGTATAAAATTTTAAAACATCTATACGTGAAGTGTTCTATGTAACGGAAAAAAAATATTAACAAATAACGTCAACTTGTAACGAGGACCGATGTAGGTAAAAGTTCTGCATTTGAAGTGCCTTGTTAACTGCAATGGACGTTAACAAGCTGTCACCGAGCTGAATTACAACATAAATAAATTCACAGCTAGATATTTTCGCTCTTAAAATTAATGGTTTTAGTTGGCTTTTAGTAGGCTATGATGAATCAGAAAGTACTTTACTTTTAAAAGTGAAATACCTTTTAAAAATTTGTTATTGTATTTTACTCGTGTTGGACAATACAAACACGAAGGCACTATAGTTTTTAATGAAAGGAAAATTAATTATCTTTCTATTTGTCGAGATATTTGATTTTTACGCGAGAAATGAAAAAACTTTTCCGTCCTAGATACCCTTTTTACCAGGTATTTAATAACTAAAAAAGTTTAATAATCTACTATCCGTATCGAAACCAATTTTACGAAAATAATATCACTTCTATATTAAGAAAATTTGCTGACAATTTTAAAAATAAAAAGGAATAAGTACAGCAAATGTTCAGTTAAAGGTTACATTTCTAGAGCAGGTTTTTATCTTTAAATTTGATTTGTGTTTTAAAAACAATATAAAACAACAACGCATCATAAAAGAGATAAACAAAGATATAATACAATACTTGTACTACTAATGTGTTTCGATGTGTTATTAGTCATTCAGAACCGTATGAAAAAATTTTTAGCCACCTATTACGTTCTTTTAACCTCTATAATTGTGGGGGAAACCTTTGTTCAACAGTGGACTCAAGCAGGTTGCAATGATAAATGGTGATGATGACCTCATTTAACTACGTTTCGCGTCGCTTAGTCAGAAAAAGTTCGATACAACGAGAAGTAAAGGAGATAACTATTGTAACATGAATAATTTCCTGAAGTCACTGAGTCAGAATGTGAAAAAACGTATAAAGTAAGCAAAATCGTACGCGGGGGCATCTAGGACAATGGTAAGGCTGTCACTCTAGGCAAAACAATAGCCTACTCGTAGCGCCGAGTTTTCGGCGCTAGTCGTTGTCGCAATGGTGCTGCGATTAAGAGATAACACGGATGAATGGTTTCCATTCTGTTTTAGATAAACTGAAACTGAGTATTGAAAGTGATAAAATCCTTGTAATTTTTGAGCGTTTAATTATGCTAACAGCCATCGCTTTCCCGAGGGAAATAGGGCGTGTTGAAAGCAAAGCGTCGCGTTTAGACTGCCGTGACGTCAGCGGCCCGTGCCCCCAGTAAATGATATAATATGCACATAAAACGATTACAGCCAGGTAGCAGCAGGTGTGACCTGGCGGCACGGGCACGTAAATTGGTTTATCCCTTGTGCTGTAGCGAATCCATCAAACGGGATTGATTATTGATTTATTATTTGCCGGCACGCTTTTACGGTCATCTAACAATGTTGTTATGATTTACAGAATAATGCGTCAAAGTTTGACGAATACTCTGAAACATTTACTTTTTAAGCCAAAGTAATGAATATTGAAGACGATACATAGTTTAATGTTTAGTTATTGCGTACAGGTAACATCGCTACATACAATACCTCTTTGTCGACTTCAGTCGATTTTAGATAACATGTTAATTAATAATTATTGTGTCTATCAGCAGAAATATTTCTGCACAAAATAACGATTTCGCAGAATTAGCATATTATTAATATTAAACTTACGTTTAATGTTACATTTTGAGCGTTAGTAAGCGCTTAATTGTATTGTAAATATACTTATATTTTCGATAAAGCTGACAATGTGAATAATGTGTAATGATTTATCAAACAAGGCGTATACGGTGTACTTTTGGTTTAGCATTGATTATATTACAATACTTATTACATGAATATTTTATTATACATGAAAAAAATGCATAACATAAAATTTAACGTAATTTTTGTTATACATTGTAAGATTCGATTTATTAGTACCTGGAGGACAGAGGTTTGCTCGGTTTTTTTGGTAAATCGTGTATTTTAGAAATTAAAAAAAAAATATATATATATATATATATATATATATATATATATATATATATATATACAAGAATTGCTCGTTTAACGGTATTAGATTTTCGGTAAGAAAATATAAAGCAACGTATTTTCATGTAAACCGTCTTTACTGCGGCTTGTATACTTGTAATATGTACATGGGTTACGTTAACAAATACAAATAACTATAGCTAAGACGTAATTAATTTGTTTTTTTATGATTCAGCTCTCAAAATCATATGTATCAAATTCTACGGTGTAGCAATCGTCAATAGTTATTATCATCATTCGTTCCGTTATTATACCACCACTCTATCATATGTATTCGTCGTGAATTTGTGGTACATTAAAAAATTACATTGAGACGTTTACATATGTTACATGTGAAGATAGCGTTCAATATAATATCTATGTAAATATCGTATAGAAAGGAAATAAATGTATGGTTGAAAATGATAAAATGAATTTAAAATTAATTATTCAACTCAGCTGCAATTTATCGTACCTATTGTATAAATTTCGAACGTAATCTTTTTAAGAGGGCTCATAATTCAGGCGATGAATTTGAAAAAGACGTAATTAATTTCATAAAGTCTAATTTATTAAAGCGCTCTTACATTAAACAGTAAATTAAATTTAACAATTGCGTTAAGTGTCACCGAAGATTACTTTAAGCTGCAATCAAGAAATTTAGAGAACTGTTACAGCACTAACACTTTTTATTTTACTTAATGTTGCTTTACATTCTCATTTATGTGTATTTATTACACCTGGTAATGATGCAAGAAATAAAAATGGTTTCGCAATTGTTTTCGTAAAAAAGGAACTGTTTATTCTTGGTGCAAGTAATTAGCAACAAATTGTACGGGGCGAATGAAATACTTTCGGCTGCATAACTTGCTGGTTCGTAATAAAAATGGTGATAAAAAGTCTCTTTAAGGATTACACCGTCATTTTTATTTAGTAGCTACTCTATTATTCACTGAGGTGTGAGTTTGTAGATATTTTTTTGTTATTATATCGTGAGGTTTTAATAATACATGAATGGTAATAATTGTTTCTGGATGCCAGTGTGAGCTTATAGGTCAAGTATTGTCACCGCGCCTCGTTGCTTCAGTACAAATGTTTGGCATACGGATCTGTGAAAATGTTTCATGTCGCTGCGAATACCAAAGTGCTTGTTGAATGCATCGATGTGTAGATCGTAAAATGCTGCTGCCTACTATCCTTTGATTGTAATGTAGATAAAGATATCGAGAAGGCTGTTCGACTGCACTGATTCAAAATTGATAACCACTTGGATATGTAACAAAAATGCGGCTTACGAGGGTAGTAGGGCCACGCAGCAGTTTTCACTTTTGCACGAAGGGTCCACCACCACAGGTTATCACGATCTCACAGAAGATCGGCGTAAAGTAGTAGTGTTGTCACTTCTGCGTTTCATCTGGTGAGTGAGGTAGCCGGGGCCCACTCTATTTAATCCGGCTGTTGCAAATGTTTATGGGCGGCGGTTATTACTTAACATCAGGTGAACCACCAGCTCATTTGCCACTTTTTCACATAAAAGAAAAAAACGTAAGTAATTTCTTTATTTCCGTATCCAAATGATCCGTTTACATAAGTTATAGATAAAATGTTCAACAGTATGATAGCATTAATCAGAAATATGGATCACATATTAACATTAATGAGAAATAATGTGAATATTAAAACATACTTTCTGCAATGCGCTATGTCTTATCAGTTTTATTTTGTTAGCTGAAAAAAGCGACTGCTAGCGAAACTCGAGTGATGCGATATGTAATTACATTTCAATCGAAATTGCTTTCCGATGCATTTACGACGCAGGTCAATCAAATATAGTGATGATATTAGAATACGATAGCATTGTCTTAATAACACTTGACCGCGACATATGTTTCGTTTGAAAATCATTGATAGAATAAAAATGAAAAGCTCGCAAATGTGCGATTGTAAAATAACAAAAATCTTCGAACGAAACGATGAACCTGCCCCGATGTCTATAGCCCCGAGGACAGAAGTGAGTGCACATCACTTTTACACATATATTGCAAATACCGGCTCCGGTGTACGGTGCGAAATATTACAGGCCCACCGGACACGGGCCAGAGGGTTACACGCTATATTATGAATTAATGTGATTTTTCTCGCGAGTTACATAACCGAGCGCCCGGACGCGCAACCGCTCCAACGCCCTGTCGGCTCTCACTGCGACTGGATCCGGCACGCGTCGACGGAGGGCGGCCGCGGTCGTCAAACTTCGTTACCGATCGTGAGTCCTCGGGCGGTTTCGGGGCACGCGCCTTAGGGCGGGCGGCGCCCGTGTGCCGTGCATTACCCGCCTACCACTACACCGTCCCGGCTCTAATTTATTTCTCCGCTAAAAACGGAATGTTTCGCCCGTCGTGTGTTCTTTTTTTAAAATCGAGAAAATATTCTAGACCGCGGAAGTCTCCTCGCTTTTTTTTTCAACGACCTCTCGCCAGCAACGCTAAAAGCATTAACTTTTTCGGTAGGCATACGTCATCCTTTTCGAATACTCATTGTCGTTAGTCAGAGAATTAAGTTATATTCGAGTGAATATAAAAC